TTCGGCCCATTCAAGAGTTCTACAACCCGAAGGTCCAAAAGACCCGATAACTAGGTGCTTGGGTGTAGTATAGCTGCTGTGATGTAGGAAAAATTTGGGAGAGTATAGTAGGGCTATGTACTTTAGAAGCTGCTTATCTTTCCATATAACCGAGCCTAACCATAAAACTAGGTATGTAACCCTAAGGCTCAAAGTAGTCCAATAGCCCTATATAGTATGGTCTTTGGGCCGAGCCCTTAGAGCCTAGGGCTCAAAAAGGGGGTAGGGTATGAGCCTCTAGGTAGCAGGACGACGTAGAAAGCAAGGCGTACCATGGCTCGGGTCATAAGAAAAGTAGCTACCTACTACTTCATCACCCTGTACTCCTAGACCCAAGAGTAACCTAGGAATAAAAAGGCTGCCCTTTTTGGGTTCAAGGGGCATATAAGGGAACCTGAACCCTTAAAAAGGGAATAAGGGCCTACTTCATAACCCTGTACTTATTAACTTCCTTGATCCTTAAAGACCCGAACACCTACTAGGATGCCCAGCAACCTGGGATTTAAAAAGGGCTCCCTTCTTGGTATTGGGTAACTTTATAAGGAACCTAGCTACGAAACGGGAATACGGGTACTACTGGGCATCCTAGCCTATAGATATCCTGTAAATTACGAAGTACCATGATCTTAGAAGTAGTTGCAAGGACCACGAGGATGCAGAGGCGACATACATCAAAGCACCTGGACTCTAAACCCCGAACCCTCTTCGCTTCCGACTACGACCACCCCAAAGGCCCATGTTTCTATCGCTTCTAGGTTGAGGCTTTTTGGTGGGTATAGCATAGGGTGACTTTGGTGAATCTAGCGGAATAGAATGTGTTGGATTTTAAGTGTTAAATGGCTCAAGCGCACAACCACAGATAGCGTGACATTGAAAAATCTATAGAAACCTCTTAAAGGACCCCATAAAACCCAATCGCAAACCCAGAAATCTTTTTTAAGTGTCTGACACCCTTCTTCAAGGATCTCTCAAAGGAGTCGCCTCGGTATGGGCCGGCAGCTCTGCCGCATGTCCTTCCGGAGTGGCCTCCAGGAGTGGCACTCAAATCCTAAACACTAAACCTATAACCTTACATCCCTAAGCCATAAACCCTATAACCCTCTATCCCTAAACCCTAAATTTTCAACCCTACCACCCTACATGCCTAAACTCTAGACCCTATAACCCTACATCCCTAAACCATAAACCCTATTCCTATAACCCTATATACCTGAACCCCAAACCTTAAAACCCTATAAACCTACATCCCTAAACCCTCTAACCCTACATCCCTAAACCCCCTGAACCCTAAGTCCTATAACCTTAGAGCCCTAGAACCCTGAACCCTAAACCCTGTAACCCTAGAGCCCTAGAACCCTAAACCGGTTCCCAACATTCGGCTTCTTTCGGGCTCCTTTCACAGGCGCCTGGAGAGGTCCATAGAAGTTGAGGGCTCGAAAAACCCAAAGGCTCCATGTACCTTGATAGTCTATACTTAAGCCTTAAAGGGGTCCCTATATAGGTACTTTAAGGCCTGAGTATATACTATATGGGTACATGGAGCCTTAGGGAAAGGGGTCCACAAAGAGGTCTAAGGGGTTTGGGTTTCGGTTTGAGGGTTTAGGGTTTAGGATCAAGAAAACGGACTTGTAGGAGGGTGATGGAGGGTAATGGGCAACACGACGTGGCAACTTCAGGGTCTCCCAAGTCCCTCGTCGCTCACCTTTGCGATGCTCGGCAAGGCCTAGTAGCCATGAACTTTTGTCACCGAGGCAAGTGTTGAGAGCACGTTGGGGCTGACACGAGAAAATCCTGCAACATCGGCTTTGTGTGGCTAAGGAGCCGACACCTCTGTGTCTGTGTTCGACATAGCTGTCCTTGAGTTGACTTTTGGCAATGCGCGCTGTTGCGCGTCTGTTTGCAGATGCAGCTTTCCTGCTCTCGACATTCGGCTGTTTCGTGTCTGCTTTCGCCTTGGGCCGTGCGGAGAGGCAAGTCCAGAGCACGTTGGGGCTCCGCTCCCGCGTAGAGCTGCTGCACTGAACCGCCCAGTCCTTGTCGGGGTTCATTCCGAGCTCATGTCCAAGGACTGCATTCCACATATGGAAATGGTTCCACTCACGGCGAACCGTGTCTGCACTGGTGGCCACCTGAGAAGGTGTCGTTGCTGTAGGCTTTATCTAACAGCTTACCATTCTCAGAACACAGATGGGGAAATCCTATCATGAACCGTAAAGAGGGTAGTTTCTTCGTGTGTCTTAACCGTGAAAAACAACCACAGTATACGGTGTCCCATCTCATTTCCGGCAGCATCGTGATACACTGCGCGGCTGGTCGTAGAATACAGAAGCATCAAACTATACCCCCCCCTGTAGAACCATAATAACAATTATGTTTTAAATTCTGTTGGATTTTATATGAACTGTAGCAAACGCTTTTGGCCCTGGAAGCCTGAACCACTTCTACATGCCTTCCTTCACTCGACACATACCGTAGACACCCAGCAAACAGATTCACAGTTGAAATCCGGAACGATAAATCCTGAAAGCCCTAGAAACAATAAACCCTAAGCCTAAACCAACAAATGTCTAAACCTTATGCTCAGCATAGGATGCTGCACGGCCCAAAACGAGGCACCTCCTCAGCCGCGTTCGCCTCACAGGCAGTGCAGAAAGAGATTACGTCAGAGCATGGGGCCTGACCCTCAACCCTGAACCCCAAAACATAAACCCAAAATCCTTTTTTGGACCTCTACCTATAGTCTCCATTGTAGTTCCTTTTTTTGGTTAACCAGTCTTAGGGTTAGGATCCTATAATAGAGATTTTGGTTGACCAAAACAGGAACTACAATGGAGACTATAGGTAGAACTTAGAACCTAAACCCCCACACCACACACCCTGATAAGCCCTCGGCTGGGGCTGCAGGAAGCTACAGACTTTGTACTTTCAAGTGTTGAGTTCTCTGCATGTCCGGGCTCAAATAAAAGAAACGGTTTAGGATTTAGGGGTTTAGGGCTTTAGGGTTTTAGGCTTTAGGGCTTAGGGTCGGAAGGTCAACGCAGAAAGTTGACTAGTTCAGGATGGGTTCCTCTCACAGGCTTAACGCTAAAAGTTAATTAATGCCAAAGCAGTAAGCCCTAAGCCCCAAAACAAAGCTGGCACATCAGGTTACACCTTGCATCCTTGAAGCACACCGTTTTGTTTCCGACCGAACCCAATACACCCTGTACTCCTTATAGATCCCTTACAGAACCCTTTATAAGGATCCCTTATACAACCTTATAAGGACCGGTTTTTGCCGACCGAACCCAATTGGCAAGGTCTGCGCAAGCTAGGAGCTGGCAACAGCCAAAGCTCGTCTCACGCAACATACAGCGACCGTCTTCAAGATGTTAAGGGTTTGGGGTTTAGGAGTTTAGGGTTTTAAAGGGGTTTAGGGGTTTATATCTTCAGGATGTTAAGGGTTCATGGTTTTGGGGTTTAGGGTTTAGGGGTTAAGGGTTCGGGGTTAGGGGCTGAGGATCTTCAGGATGCAAAGGGGTAAGGGTGTCGGGGTTTAGGGTTAAGGGGTGTAAAGGTTAAGGGTTTAGGGGTTAGCGACCATCTTCATGGATGGGTTCAGGGATTTAGGGTTTGAGCACTATATATAGATTCAAAGAATGCAGAGGGTTTGGGGCTTAAAGGTTGAGGGACCCACGTAGCTCTGTTTGCTGCGTTGCATAGGATAACTCGGCATGCCGTACGAGATGGGCTCTGGTGACCAAGGTTTGCAGTGGAGTTTAGGGTTTAGGATTTTAGGCCATAGGGTTTATATAGGAGTTAGAGTCAGTTGCAGCTGGTAGGGTTTAGGATTTCAGGGCAGTTATAGAGCTTGTAGGGTTTAGGAGCTAAATTAAAGGCCATAGGATTTCGGAGCCGGTTGGCTTCATAGAGGATGTTCGAGAGGAAGACCGAACCCTTACTACTTTTACGCTAAACTTACCCGAAACCTTGAACCTCCAAACCCCTATCGCAAAACATGACATCTGCAAGATACTCCTGATGCTAGACGGCTTCTTTTGAAAGTCGAACACAACCACGAACCATGGGCCTTAACACCTGAACCTAACGCAGATGCCCTACATTCTTAGGCCCACTCCAAAAACCTACAGCCACCCTAGCCTACTTTATTTAGAGTAGCAATATATTCTGCCCTGCAAAGAAGTGGGCTGTCGAAGATTAAGGTAGGTCATCTTTCTACGCTAAGGACGTACAAGCCAAGGAAGCAGGTAAACTACAGTACTTGGAGACAACTGGTTCTGCTTGAATCCTACAGGTTCGGGACATTTCGACCCTAAACCCTAGACCATAACCCCGAGACCTTAAACTATACCCCCTAAACCCTAAACCATTAGGGTCTTTTCGATTTCCGACATTCAGGATTGGTGTCCGAATCTTACGGATTTGCCAACATAGCACCGACAAGACTCGAAAGACATCTTGGCGACACGCTCCCAACATGTAAGAAATATGTGTAAGAAGCTATGTGTTCTGAGGACGGCTTCTAAAAAATGTTGAGCAACATTGTTTCCGAGGTAGCCGTTATACTGCTAACTAGCGGGTACGATGAAGGCTGTATGTTCTCATTTAAATATTAGTATATTAGTATATTAGTATCTTAGTATATTAGCATGTTAGTATATTTGTATATTAGTAGCTTGACACAAGGGTCCAGGGTCGCTGTACGATGATGTCCAGTTACACGTAACTGTCCGTGAGATTGACCCCTTGCTGCACTAAGGCAGCAACTGAGGCTCTGTACTTCTGTTGATGATATACATCCTGCATTACCTTAAGAACCCTAAACTATGGGAATTATGGTATATTCTTTATTATGGATATTGCAGGATTTATATCATGAACCGTTCAGTCCTGTCCGAAAGTCCAGGTGCTGGGAATTGAAAGGCTACTCTGGACTTTGGAACGATAGCCCTCAGATCCACTCAGACCACAATGGCAGTTTCCTTGGCAAACTTACCTCAGATGGTCGGCAAGATGGCAAGCACTGCCTACCCCTGCAATGCACTACCCCTCTGTATTGTGGCATGTGCTACTTGCAGGTTCAAGTGGCTTAGTAACTGCAGGGATATACTGTACCTATTATGAGTTATAACCCCAGATAAGGTATTCCTTTGACCCCAAAACTTACAAAGTAGTAGGTTATGACCCCTTAATTAGAGGGTAGAACCCTTAAAACGATAGGTTTGGGGATCCACAGGTTATAACTGAGCTGACGAATTCGCATGAACCTCCCAGTAGAATGTGCTACGGTAGAAACTCGCTGCGTTCTTGACCAGCTTCTTTCAGGGACCAAGTCTCATCTCTCATACTTCAACCCATGCATCTAAACCCTAAGCCCTAAGCCCTAAACCATCCTAAGCTCCTGAATCCAAACCCAAACCCTAAACCCCCAACCTGAAACCTTACAGATACCAGGAAAGAATCCTAAAGGGATACCCGAATAGTAGTCCTTACGGATCCCTTCTAGAGCCTTCCCAGAGACCCAATATGCGAAATTTGCCCACTTAAGACTTCCGGAATAATTATTCCTCATTCAATGTATGTTGGAAGACACCTCTAACAAAAGCACAGAGGCAACCCTTCTGGTCTGTGGAAAGACAGCCCGAATCTGTGCTCAGGGACGACATCGAAGAATAGGCTACGTAATTGACACTTTTCAAGGACGAGTACCCAAGCTCTAAGGACTCATATTTTAACGCTTTTGGGCCAAAAGACCATACTATATAAGGCTTTTGGGCTATTTTGAGCCTTAGGGGTAGGATGTGGACCCCTCTGCAGCGCTTGACCTGGAACTCGGAACCGTAATCCCGGAAGCCCTAAAGCTGGTTCTCCCTCATTAAAAACCCTACCCTAAGGGTCCAAGTGCTCAAATAGTAGGGTTTCAAGGTCCAAAAACCATTCAGAGTATGGATCTTGGGACCTAAAACCCTACTATTTGGGTACTTGGACCCTCTGGGCTATATACCCTGCCTGGGGTGATCAACGTAGTTCAAAGAGAGGATATGAGCCTAAACCCTAAACCCCTAAACCCCTAGACCCTAAACCCGGGAAAGCATCTTGGTTTCTCGAGGTAGACCCTACTTTCCCGATCAAGGCCAGGCTAGCATTGTACTATGTACTATCCCTAAAATTCCATGTACCTTTACAGTAGATTACTAGAGTTCCTTTAAGGGTTCCTTTAACGGGTTCTATATGGTTTAGGGTATAAGGGTCCATGGTACCTTTATAGTAGATACTTAGGCGTTAAAGGGTCCCTATACAGGTACTCGAAGGCCTAAGTATATACTATATGGGCACATGGAGCCTTAGGGTATGAATCCCATTGTGGTATTTGAGCGTTACGCCGTTTAAGACTAGATTTTTTTTAGCCTAAGGCTCAAAATAGCCCAAAAGCCTAAGGCTCAAAATATCCCAAAAGCCTTATATAGTATCGTCTTTGGGCCCAAAAGCCTTAAAATGTGAGTCCTTAGAGCCTAAGGGTTAACGGTCAATTACGTCACCGATGCCCTAGACGCAAGCCACGGTGCCCTGGATGAAGTCGTTGAGCATCTGCAGCGCCACAGCCGGCTGGTCCATGGGCACCATGTGCCCTGCTTGGAAGACCTTCGGGTTTAACATACATAGAGGCCTTTATCATTACAATAAGGCTTGGGGGCATATTCTACTATGAATGTACTAAAGAACCCCAAGATAAAATTTGTAATTTATTTTTGGCACCTATAAAGCTGATTTGCACATGTCTTCCTTGATGTACCCTACTTGGAAGGGCAGGGGACTTAGTAAGTAGGTTATAAGTAGAGTTATAAGTACCCTAAATGGAGCTACCCCATTTATAACCCTGCTTATCACCTACCTACTAAGTCCCCTGCCCTTCCAAGTACGGAAGTCAGAAAGACAGTAGAGAAGGGCCTACCTTCAGGAAGCTTACTGGGGTTCCTTCATAAATCCTGGGGTTCCTTTAAAGGGATCTATAAGGGTACGTTTAAGGGGTTCCTTTAAGGGATCTATAGGGTTTTTAGGGTTAAGGGTTTAGAATGATGATATAAATCCTGCACTACCTCAAGGACCCTAGACTATGGGAATTATGGTATAGTCCTTATTTTGGGTAATGCAGGATTTCTATCATCAGCCGTAGGGTTCGGACAATAATAGTTCAGGGTGTCAGGTCTTATGAACCCACTTGAAAAAGTTCTATATTTCCGGCTGAAAGACCCTTCGGCCACGAGGTGATCAGCTATAACCCGAACCTCGACCCCTAAACCCTTATGTCACATACTTCCCAGAGACTCCAATACCCCTTAATTACGGAATATACCTTAAATCATATTAGGGACCCTACTATAATTTAAGGGTTCTTCCTTAATTAAGGGGTATTGGAGTCTCTGGGTTGTGTCCTAGAGTGAAAAGCACACGAAAGACTAGTACCCTCTAAGCGTCGTATTTCAACACGGGCCTTAACAGTCAGAATAAGGTGTGGGGGTATATGACACCCTACACTTAACCCTAAACCCCTAAACTCTAAACCGCCAAACCCCTAAACCCTAACAGCGCACGTCTATGGCGACTATGAGGGGACACTGGCACGCACTACGCAACTTGCCGGCCCAAAGTCCCGATCCCCTTCCCAGATCGTCCAATATCCCTAATGGGTTACTGCAGAGCCCCAAACGGGAGTTTCCGAAGATTAGGGTTACCTTATTTTGGGGTCCATATAATAAGGATCGGTACTATATTAGGGTCCCCTATTTTCGGAAACTCCCAAACACCAACCCCCTGAAGCCCCATCATGCCCACGACCCTGACACCTCTAAACTCCTACAAAGACTGCCCGCGACACTTTGAACAACTGATGCTTTTTTGCGGGTGAATGGGCGAGTCTAGACAAATCCAGAGCGTAGTATAAACATGTTGAAACCCCACATGATGCAAACCTCGAAACCTTACATCCTAAAACGGCCCCAACGTAAAACCCCCAAAGTTGCGGCCCTACCCTAAACCCTGAATAGCTCTAAACCCGACCACCCTCTACCTAGATAACCCTTCTAGACCCCAAACCACCCTAAACCCTAAAATCCAAACCCCTAAACCCCAAACACTTAACTAGGAGGTGCTTCTAAAGCCTTTGAAAAGTATTAGTAACTTAGTGGGTATGATCCTCTTAAGCCCAATAAGAGCAGATACAAAAAATCCCAAAGTCCTACCTAGTCAAAGGAGCCCTGAAACCCAGAACCACCTGCATGAAGTGGAAGCCGTTAGCGGAGCGAAGGCGGCCCGCGGCTTTGCCTTCCACCTTCACTAAAAAGGTCTCTAAATGGGCTTAGGGTTTCTTTACAGGGATCTATAAGGGTTCCTTTAAAGGGGTCGATAGCGGCTCCCTTAAGGAATCTATAAGGGTTTAGGGTCTGGGGTCGGGGGTTTTGGGTTTGAGGTTGGTTTTCGGGGGTTAGGACTTCGGAAGCTTCAAAGGGGGTTTCCTGAACCAGGTGTCGCGGACAGAACTGCTGCCACAAGCTGTGGAGCTGTCGTTTCGATTCAAAGGCACCATGTTCTTGCGCGAAACACAGCCTTGAACCAAGGAGCAACAGGAACTTGACACCACCGGCAAGTGTGCAGATCATGTCAAGACCAGCAATGGGACCTAATCCGTAAACCTTACACCAGTAACCCCAAACCATAAACCCTGAACCCCAAATCCTAAACCCTGCACCCAAAACCCTAAAACCCTAAAACCCTAAAACCCTGAACCCAAAACCCTGAACCCTAAACCCTGCATCATAAAACCTTAAAGCCCCAAACCCTAAAACCCTAAAACCCCTAAACCCTTCTCGACGTGCCACAATGACACGAGTTTACTGTCTGGTTCTTGGGAATGGGGGAATGAATATTGGGGACTATTATTGGGGGTTATATAGGGACTACTACGGTTGATGGACAAAAATCCTGCATCACCTTAGGGTATAGGTTTTTTTTCGGGACGCGGGGCGCGGGGCGCGGGGGCGCGACGACGCACGTGAATTAGCCTATTATGTCACCTTAAGGGCCCTAAACTATGGGAATTATGGTATATTCCTTATAATGAGTAATGCAGGATTTTGTCCATCAGCCGTGTGGGGATCCATTCCCCCATTCCCTACTGAGCACCAGGGAATCATATCGCCTCACTCTCGTCGGTTTTCAATCCCCAAATTGGTTCAGGGTCTTTTCGGGCTCCTTTACAGGGATGTAAAGGGGTTCCTTGTACAGGGATCTATGAGGGATCTTAAGGTTTAGGCTTACGGTTTAGGGTGTAAGAAGAGCCCTCAAGCAACACTTGGTTTCTCAGAACGACCCAGATTCTCATCAACAGAAGATCAGCATCAGCATCATCATCATCTTAGTTGCTGAATTCATAAGGCCCCCAAAGTGTACACTTTCAGTTTTATAGTGGCTAAGATTATCCCAAACAGTGTAAAGTGTATCCACTCAGCTACTACGTACTGCCCCCACTCAGTAACAGTTGGATAGTTTTCATAGTATAGAGATATAAGGACCTCCTATTATAGACGGTTTTTGTAAGATTATCCACTCAGCTACTAAGTCATCTGCGCCTCGTAGCTCTTGTCGCCAGCGGCATTGAACTCAGCCTGCACCGAGCTTTGGAGAGAGCGACGTTGGGTGCGGCCCCCATACAGTAACAGTCCATAATAGGGCTACTATTAAGGGCGATATATATCTATATTATGAATATTATCCAACTGTTACTGAGTGGGGGCCGTACCCAAGGGCGACGGCTTGTGTTTAAACTTTGGAGAATCTTCAGTTGGATACAGTTGAAGGTTTGATAGATGTACCCTAAACCCTTAACCCTGTTTGATAACCCTAAACCCGAAAATCTTGTATAAACCGTGGGATTTAGCTAGCCTTGGAGTCGAACCTCGAGATCCTGCCCGAAACGGCTCCCTCAGAAGACTCTCTGGTTCTTTTCTAGGGAATGGGGGAATTAATATTGGGGACTATTATTGGGGATTACATAGGGACTACTGACTACTCTAGGGATCCATTCCCCCATTCCCTACTAAGCACCAGACGAAGAGAAAGCCCAGTCTTGCCAGTCAACATCTACCCCTAGATCCTAATACCTTAAAGCCCTAAACCCAAATACTGTAAGTACCTTACCCTAAACCTAAACGCCTCAAGTCAAGTAGCAAGCGCTCCTTTACATTAGCTCTCTCTCTCTCTCTCTCTATATATATATATATATAAATAAATAAATACATATGTATAGAAGGGTTACTGTAAGAGGTATTGTGGGAGTTTAGTAGGTTTTGGCAGCAATGCCACAAAATTACACCATGGTTGAGAAACCTGGTTAGTAAACACCTTCCCCTTTCGGGATGATAGTGGGATCCCGTATTCTGGTATTCGGGCCTTCGTGCCCTTATAGTGACGAGGGCTTGTTATTAGCAGGATCTACAATAGTGAAGACCAAGAGTACTCGCAGGCACCAACATGGTCATCATGGTCACCATGTCCTACTCGTCCAGTACCTCAAGAAACTACAGTTTAACCTTTGGTATATATAGGGATTGTAGTACCAAAAACGTTAAAAGTGAACAACGTAATTGTGCAGTCATCGAAGTCGTCGCCATCATCACCGGCTGCAGAAGCACGGGCGTTCGCACCAGGATAACATCCCCGGCTTGCGTAGTCACTGTACCCGGGACGATGCTCATCGTTCTCACCATCGACAACACCGCCAGCCAACGACAAAAAACAGCACATCCACAACACCAGGCATCTTCCTCCTCCTCATCGTCATCATCACCGTTGCTGGCCGTCACCGCCATCCACGACCATTCTTGCTGTTTCCAAAGCAGCGCTGCTGCCCTTGGTGCTGCCCCCCAGAGCCGAAATCCGAAAGACACGCAGCCTTGTGGGGCCACTCGAGACCCAATGCCCACTTCCTCGGGTGGCACGCATCAACAGGTCTGGGGATCAGGGAAGGTTCTTGGAGGTTATTAATGGGACAACGAAACGAAGGCCATCAATAAGGTAACTGTACTTACAATTAGTACTACTGCTACTACTACTACTACTCCTACTCCTACTCCTACTCCTACTCCTACTCCTACTCCTACTCCTACTCCTACTCCTACTCCTACTCCTACTCCTACTCCTACTCCTACTCCTACTCCTACTCCTACTCCTACGACTACTACTACTACTACTACTACTACTACTACTACTACTACTACTACTACTACTACTACTACTACTACTACTACTACTACTACTACTACTACTACTACTACTACTACTACTACTACTACTACTACTACTACGACTACTACTACTACTACGACTACTACTACTACTACTACTACTACTACTACTACTACTACTACTACTACTACTACTACTACTACTATACTAACTACTACTACTACTACTACTAACTAACTACTACTACTACTACTACTACTACTACTACTACTACTACTACTACTACTACTACTACTACTACTACTACTACTACTACTACTACTACTACTACTACTACTACTACTACTACTACTACTACTACTACTACTACTACTACTACTACTACTACTACTACTACTACTACTACTACTACTACTACTACTACTACTACTACTACTACTACTACTACTACTACTACTACTACTACTACTACTACTACTACTACTACTACTACTACTACTACTACTACTACTACTACTACTACTACTACTACTACTACTACTACTACTACTACTACTACTACTACTACTACTACTACTACTACTACTACTACTACTACTACTACTACTACTACTACTACTACTACTACTACTACTACTACTACTACTACTACTACTACTACTACTACTACTACTACTACTACTACTACTACTACTACTACTACTACTACTACTACTACTACTACTACTTCCACTACTACTACGACTACTACTACTACTACTACTACTACTACTACTACTACTACTACTACTACTACTACTACTACTACTACTACTACTACTACTACTACTTATTACTTCTACCGCGGCGACGACGTGTTTAGGAAGTTTAGGGGACGGCAGGATTGCTCCGAGCGTCTTGTTGCCGAGCCAGTTGCAGATGTAATCCACATCACCTGTCACGGTTCAGGATTTAGGGTTCAGGGTTAAGGGTTTAGGGCTAGACGTCCGGGCAGGTTTTGAGCGACAGAGGCCTACAACCTGCTTAGAGGTGCACTTATGTTACATTGAGAAACCAAGGGATCCTAATTGAAAGAAACGAAATAACAGCAGCCGCTAGATCTAACAAAGCCCTATTCTAATTATTAAGGCCCCTACAATACGCTATCCTTCGAGTATCCCTTATAGTAACCTTTAAAGGACCCCTTTACCGGAACCCTATTCTAAGAGCCGCATACCGGTTCAGAGTCATCGGGCTTAATCACAAAATGGCCCACATGACCTTTGGTCCCTGGAGCTTCGCCGTCATGAAATCACAAGGGGTTTAAATTTAAATAACGTGAGATCTATACAATACAAAACTGTGCAAAGGGTTGTCGCTGAAATGCCTGGCTCTGGTATGAGAAGTCGCCGGGGCTTCACAGTGGAGGGAGTTGGGGTTCACAGGGTTTGTTTTTAAAGAGTTCATGGTCTAGCACATGCCCAATGCCCCACACACGACCCTACTTGCACCTTCAGCCCTCAGCCAAAGCCCAATGCCATGCTGGAAACCCTAAACCCGACCAGAAATTCGCCACCCTAAACCCTAAAACCTAAAACCCTGAAACCCTAAACCCGACCAAAAAATCGCCGAGACTGCAGAGCCCGAATCCTTTACTTACTTGTCAAGTATCCTAGGGCATTTAAAGGCGAACCTTTAAAGGCGAACCTTTGGAGTTATGTGGGGATTAGCATAATATCCGAGAGTGGTCAAAGTCTACCTACTCTACTAATAGGTTTAAAGTTTAAACCTGAACGAATTGAAAGAGTTGAGGTCCAAACTAACCTCTGAGTCCCACGCCCACAGAACATGCAAGCAGTTAGCAAAGTTTCAAAGATCGCAAAACGGAAAACATTAAAGTCGGGAATCTTCGCAAATAAAACCTATACCCTAAACCCTAAACCCTGCCTAAATCCTAAATCCCAAACCCTGAAACCTTAACCCTGAATCCTAAACCCTAAACCCTGAATCCTAAACCCTAAACCCTGAATCCTAAACCCTAAACCCTGAATCCTAAACCCATACCCTGCACCCTATACCCTAAGCTGCAAACCTCAAATCTTCCCGGCCCCAGGCCTCCGGCTACAGGCCCCTTAGCAGAGCCCTGAAAGGAACCCTTAAAGGTGCCTTCAAAGAGCCTGTTAGGGAGCCCCTTATATAAGGAATCTTTATAGGAAACCTTGAAGGAACCCTTGCCCCAACGTAACCCGTAAAGGGAGCCCTGATACAGAACCCCATAGTACCCTTCAACGGAGCTATAAGGGAACCATTGAAGGAACCTATTCCTTAAAGGAGCCCTGTAGATCTCTTAAAGGAGCCCTTCATAAAACCTTAAAGATCCCTTAAAGGATCTCTAGATATCTCTTAAAGGAGCCCTAAACTTAGGCCCCTAAAAAGGCCCCTTAAAGGGACCGGGCCTGCGTAGATCAAGACCTGTAGACCGGCAGCAAGGAGGTCCGGAAGCTTCGTGTGGAAGTTCTTCATCCAGTCCTAGGAAGGTTTAGGTTTTGGGTTTAGGGTTTAGGTTTAGGGTTTAGGGTTTAGGGTTTAGGGTTTAGGGTTTAGGGTTTAGGGGGCAGATTAAAGGGAACTCCAGAAAGTTGGAATATGGTTTCTTGGTAGGATACCCTATAATTTACCATAGAAGGGTTACGATAATCATAATCCAACTTTCTGGCTTCTACTGTAGGGTTTAGGGTTCTAAACCCACAGCGCAACTAGACCTAAGAGTAACCTAGGAATAAAAAGGATGCCCTTTTTGGGTTAAAGGGGGCCAGAAGGGAACCCAACTAAACCCTAAACAAAGGGAAAAAGGGCCTACTCTGGGTCCTAGTTTAGGATTGAGGGTCTATAGGGGTGTAGGGGTTCTGGGCTTAGAAGGGTCTGTAACTCCTAGGAAGTGGCTTTGGGTTTAGGGTTTTGTTTCGGGGTTTGGGGGCTAATTAAGAGGTTTAGGGTTTACGGGTTTAGGATCCTTAAGGCGTTCCCTCAATCTTTCGTCCACATGTAGATCTTCCTCAGATTTGGAACATCCCGGCTGCGGGCAGGTTTGGGATTTTCTTCTGTGACTTTTGGGTTTTGGGATTTACGGGCTGAGGATTTCCAATTTCGGGCTACAGCACTTCTTGTTACTTTGTAGGCCTGTACAGGGGGTCTGTGAACGCGTCTGCTGTGTCTGTCTGTTCTGTCCGTCTGTCCTGTCTGTCTGTTTTGCCCGAAAGCCTGCCTGGCTGCTTGCCTGTCTGTTCTGTCTGGCTGTTCCGTCTGTCTGTTCTGTCTCTCTGCTCTATCTGCTGTGTGCAGTCTGTGCGCTCCGTCGGTTGTCTGTTTGTCCGACAGTCTGTCTATGCCTTTGTGTGTGTGCATGCATGTGTGCTTGTGTGTGTGTGTGTGTCGGTGAGCTGAAGCTGCATACTCAGAGCAGGCGGGGGTGGCAAACAGTAATAATGAAGCTCGAAGCGTCGTGCTGGAATGCCAGGTTCACGATGCGGTTGCAGCTGCCCCACTTCTTGTTCACACCCAGCTGCTCCTGCGTCGTCTTGTCCTTAGTCTCAGGGATACGTCGTCCCTATACACTCAGATGCTCCAGATCTCCGGCAGTAAATCCTAAACCTCAACAGCGACATGCCCGAACCCCTAAGCTGCAGAACTCCAATTTTGGACTGTAGAAACCACAGGAGTGCCCAATGCCAAGATCCAGGTTCATGTCACTGATCCAGGTTTCTTCTCTGCGCAGGAGTGCAAGCATGGCTGCCCATCGTGCCCAGCGACTGCAATATCCCTTAATTAAAGAATAGTCCTTAAAGCATAGTAGGACCCCTAATATGATTTAAAGACTATTCCTTAATTTTAAGGGATATTGCAGTCTCTAGGTGGGTGTATGGACCACGGTTTACAAGTTTCAAGGCCGCTCCTTGTTCTCCGTGGACTTTGTAGCATGGAGTGTGCTGCCGTGTCAATTTTCAAAAGTGGTGTCGTATTCACGTGATCACTGGGCTTGTCTATAAGTTCAGAGTCAGAGCTCTGTTTTAACTACTGACTGGTCGCAGAAGTTGAATTGTACTTTACGATGTAAATGCTTCTTCGATTTGTGAACAGATCAACCAAACCCGAAACAACAATAGCTCATGCTGTCGTCTAGCTGTCCTGGCCCGTTCTGGTCTGGGCTTAAAAATTAGTTACAGGGTCCAGCCCCTTGGCATTGAAGCAAACACAGGCAACAAGCAAGCTTGCGACCTGAGTCGACGATCCCATGCGGAATTGGAGACAGCAACGGGCCCAAGTCTACCCCCTCGGCCCCAAACCCTGAATCCTACAGTAAACCCCCAAAGCCCGAAGCCACAAAACCCTAAGTTTATGCGTCCAGGTGGCATTCAGGAAGGTCTCGACTGAGCCGAAGTCATAGCAGAGAGGCGGCTTCTCGCACTTGATGCGCATGTCGTAGGGGTTGTGGCCTCGTGGCATAGAGTTCCTATATTTAGCTATAGTCGTCGATGACTGTCAAAGACAATATTTTTGAATAGGGGGTTTAAGATACGGCCCTGGCAATGTAGGGGACTTCATAAGTCGCAAAAAGTTTCGCGGTAAACAAACTGTTCTTGTTTAGCGATGGCGATAACAAGCAACCCTACGGACACATTGTCAGGATTTTATTTTCGCCGGACGGTATGGTGGCATTAGGATTCCAGGATCTGGCATTTACGTTTCTGGTTGTTAAGGCCTGTATCGGCCTTTGTGCTGTAGAGCTGCAAAGCATGATAATAAACCAAACACAACTCCAGAGCCTTCGGGCTTCTTAGTTTGGGAGTGCACTTCGCCGTGCAACCAGCGCGCTTCGAAGGCATGCTGTACTAAAGACAGGCCCTTAACCCTCGTCAGAGCTCTTTGACCATATGCTGAACCCGACAACCCTTCGATTCGATCAAACCCCAAAAGCCTTAAACAGAAAAAGACTGTGCACACGAACCATTAAAAACAATGGTCACTTGCTGTAACCTGCTAGTAATAACTCCTGTAGTAACCATAAACCCTGAAACGTAGGCGACGTAAGCCCTAATCTATAACCCTAGTTACTAAGTCCCATGAACCTCCAAGTATGCTATCTGGGCCAACAGTAGGATACCCAGTAACCTAATTATAAGAATAAAAAGGCCTCTCTTTTTGGTATTGGGTAACTTTATAAGGAACCTAGGACTACAAAAAGGGAATAAGGGTACTACTGGGCATCCTAGACAAACTTTTCAACCCAGGAGGCTCTGGGTAGGGCTTCCTAAACCCTAAACCCTAAACCCTAAACCCTGCTTCTTCCTTGGGTGCTGTAGGTCTGCTCCGAGGTTCCACTGTGGTTGTAAAGCGGTTTTGGGAAAACTTGAAGTCATAGGGATCCTTAGGGGTGTAGGGGGGAGGGGTGTAGGGGACTATATTTCCTTAAATAGGCCTTATTAGTCCTTATTATGGGCCTTAAGGCCCCCTACCCCCCCTCCCCCTACACCCCTAAGGATCCCTATGATGAAGGTTCAGTAGCGTCCTACTGCTGATGGACAAAATCCTGCATGACCCTAAGGACTCTAAACTATGGGAACTATGGTATATTCCTGAAAATGAGTAATGCAGGATTTTGTCCATCAACAGAAACCCTAAACCCTAAACCCCTAAACCCTAAACCCTAAACAGTAGGGCTTCTGCCGGCTGCATCAGCAATTCCAAGTGACACTGACCCACAGCTTACTCTTCCATTAAGCATTAACTCGGCTTCTCTGTCGTAGGGCTTTAAGGCTTTGGGGTTTCGGGGCTGTGGTAAGGCTTACAAGTTTAGGGTTTGCAAGGTCCTCGGGGTTTTAAGAGTAATGTAGGAACCTGAGCAAGAGACCTTGGGCCTTTATTAGGGCCCCTTTTACGAATCCGACTATTTTGGCTTGTAGGCCCAGGGTTTTTAGTCAGGTTCCTGCATTAAGGTTTTAAGCAGGCTGGTGATTGAAAATTTTGCTTCCCGATCCCTCTTCGATTTTCAGGTGTCTTCTGCCTGCTGCTCGCCCGACTGCCGAGAAGAACCTCTCAAGCGCAGCTGTTGAGGCCGGTACTGCGAAAGCTGACATGCCAGTGCAGCCAATTTCGGCATGACATGGGGATGAGTGGCCCAAAAGCTGACCAACATCCATCGCTGCTGGCAGCTGCATCACCATTATCATAAACCTCGTCCTGGTCAGCTCGTTGCCGACGAGGGCTGACAAATCCTCCATTTCCGAGAGGACTGCTTCCTCAGTCTGCTCAGGCTCGGCTCCCAACAGCCATTTCCCTGCACTTCTTCGCTCCCGCAACACGAGCTTTGTAGCTTACAGACGCCGGGCATGCATTTGCCCAAAACTTTGGATATACTATATTATACCCTACACCCTATAACTTAAAACCTAAAGCGGTGAACATGCAATACTGCACGTACGAAGAGGCGATTCAAGTAAGAGTATATAGTAGTTCGCAAGCACCGTCTGTAGTTAGCGATAAGTGCTTCATGCATTGTCCGTACTTCGTTGCCTATCCAGGAACTATGCACCCCCCCGCTTAGAACCACAACAAAAGCACCTTTTTTAGGGCTTTAAGTGAACAAGCACCAAAAAGCATTCCTAAGGACACTATTGCGAACCCCGAAACCTCCGACACCACAAAACCTGAATACATCTCGTGCAGCCTGTTAAGCATGGAGCATAGCCAAACAATGTCATCCTAAAACCCTCAGCCCTGAACCCGCATAAACCCTAAGCGGGTAATTATGGGGCTTCGGGTTTGTCTGGAATTTATAACCAACGACGAATGGACCAACGAAGCTTAAAAAGCTGGATCTGTGAATCTTTTTTCGAGGAGGGAGGGGGTTTAGGGTTTGGGGTTTAGGTTTAGGACCCTAAACCCTAAACCCTAAACAGTGATTTCCCCCTGCGTGCCTGTGAGCTGGTAGGGGATCAGCTCGCCGTAGTTGCACAGAGCATAAGCCGTCGTGCAGGCGTTGTCCTCGGCAGTGAAAGCGTCCCAGCCCCAGATCCGAGATCGATGTGATTCTCAAACGGTTCTAGGTACTGTAGGAACCTGAATTAAGAAACCCTAGGGTTCCTTATATGAGTCTTAATATATTGGGGGTTATAGGCCCAGGGTTTTCTTAATCTGTTACCATGCCAAACCTGCAAGTTTTGGAGCAGGGGGCCTCCCCAAAATGGGACTTGGAGTAGGGGGCCCCCTGATGTGTTCGGTTCTTGCTACAAGGACCCCACCCAAACCCCAAGGCCCAGAGAGAAACGAAATCTCCTTAAACCCCAATCCCCTAAACTCTAGAACCCCTCAGCCGCTAGCGTAGACCCGACGCATTGAACCCTCAAGCCCTAAACTCTAAAGCCCATACCCTGCACCCTAAACATCCCTCAACCGGTACTGCCCCCATACAGTAACAGTCTATAATAGGAGGTCCTTATATCTCTATACTATGAACAGTATCCAACTGTTACTGACTGGGGGCAGTACGGTTGATGATATAAATCCTGCATTACCCATAATAAGGAATATACAAGAATTCCCATAGTTTAGGGTCCTTAAGGTAGTGCAGGATTTATACCATCATCCTAAACCCTTAACCCTAAAAACCCTATAGATCCCTTAAAGGAGCCCCTTAAAGGTACCCTTCTGGATACCCTTAAAGGAACCCCAGGATACCCAACCTCAACCCAAGTCTTCAACCAGGGCTCGTCCCCGGCGTTGCAAGACGCGATCTGCTTGACACATGGGATGCCTGGGCTTTGACTAGGATACCCAGTAACCTGTTGGGTAACTTTATAAGGAACCTAGGACTACAAAAAGAGAATAAGGGTACTACTGGGCATCCTAGTTGACTTAACCATCGGTTTAGGGTTTAGGGTCCAGGGAGGAAGCAGTTCTAGACATTCATTCTATAATGGTTCCCTTTAAGTGGCCGGTCTCAAAAAGTATTAAAGTATAGCCTTCGTTCCATGATGGTTCCCTTTAAGTGGCCGGCCTCAAGAAAGTATTACAGTATAGACTTTTATTCCATAATGGTTCCCTTTAAGTGGTAGGTCCCCCCAAAAAATAGTAAAGTATGGTACTCCACAGCCCAGATGCTGGCTGCTTTCATGGCCAGGGTGCCCACGCGCCCAATGACACCTCGCAACCCAAAGACTCCAATGTCCCTTAATAAAGGAATACTTAGGGTTTCTTTATAAGGGATCTATAAGGGATCTATACGGTTTAGGGTGCAGGGAACTCCAATATCCCTTAATTAAGGAATATACCTTAAATTGTAGTAGGACCCCTAAAAGGATTTACGGTATATTCCTTAATTAAGGGTTTATTGGAGTCTCTGGAGAAAAAATGGCTCTCTTTCACGGTCCCACAGGGTCCATGTATCCAAATGGTAGATACTTTGGCCCCGAAGTACCTACATAGGGACTGCAAGAAGGCCTAAGTATATGCTATTTGGGCACACGGAACCTTAGGGGTGCCATAAAGCAATTATCGTTACAGGCGCCTGTTAAGGGGTTCTCGAAAAGCGGTTCCTGTTGGGCCGAGGGTTTAGGGCCTGAGGGCTCGGTTTAGGGTTTAGGGTTTAGGGCTCGGAGATTGTGCGGTTTTAAACTGAATTATAAATGCTTCCCCTTAGGCTCTAAGGACTCATATTTTCAGGCTTTTGGGCCCAAAGACCATACTACATCAGGGCTTTTGGGCTATTTTGAGCCTTATGGTTCGGATTCGTGAGTTGCGGTTTTGGATTTCGGGGCTTATGAAAGGCCCTTTGCAGGGTTGCCATAGGCTTTTTCCGGCTGGGAAGAATGCCTGAGATCAACCATAAACGCTAAACCTGGATATGGGCTGCCCTCGATGTAGTGTTCCTGGCATTTCTGCAAAGGAGCTGCTTGCAGGCCCATGGCTCGCTACAAGTAGAGAAATCAAGACATACAGTAAAAGCCAGAAAGTTGGAATATGATTATCCTAAACCCTTTATGGTAAATTATAAGGTGTCCTACCCTGAAACCATATTCCAACTTTCTGGCTTTTACTTTAATCTCAGCATGGCTACAGGTATGCAGTCAGGTCCCAAAGATCCCTGTTATGGGTCTGGGGCCCTGATTCCATAACAGGAGCACTACTACACCCCCTTTAGAACCATAATAAAAAATATGGTTAATACTCTCTTGGGCTTTATATGAACAAAAAATAGAAAAATAATTCCTAGGGAGACTATAGACTAGGTTCCCCCGTAGCCCCTTAACAAACGAGGCGGGAACCTCGCGACTTTATGGGGCCTCTTGGGGTATGGCATTTCCATTTTAAGTGGCTTCGGTTCGGGTTTCTCTGCCACTACCGCCCTTTCCAAGGAATGGAAAGTGGCTCACAAAGAGAGCTGTGTTGAAGAGGTCTTGAGCCTTGGGATTAGACCCTAAGACCTAAACCCCTAACCCCTAAACCTCGAAACCGTAAACCCCGAAACCCTAAGCCCCTAAACCCTAAACCCCGAAAACCCTAACCTACGGCTGGGGCTGCCTGCCTGCCACATAAAGCATGAACAGCAACAAACCATTAAGAGCGAGACTAAGCTTAGTGTTTAGAGGTTGGAGGGGTTTAGGGTTTTTTGGGGGTTTAGGGTTAAGGGTTTCGGGGAAATAAAGAGACCAATAAAACAAGACATCGGTAAGCCTCACAAGTGTCATCATCATGTGAAAGGACACAAGCATGATGACAGTGGAGCCGTCGACACAAGAGACCCCAACAGAGAGACAGCTGCTGAAATCTTAGCCATTGTCAGCTCTGTTCTCCGCAAGACAGCCACACAGCATTGGGTTTGCATGTACCCTGAACTTCCCAGAGATCCCAATACCCCTTCATTAAGGAATATACCTTAAATTAAAGAAGCCCTCATATTATGATTTAAGGTATCTTCCTCAATTAAGGGTAGTGGGATCTCTGGGTTCCATTTCCCTAAACCCTACACCCTAAATTCCAGAACCTACTCCTCTGTACCGTCACAGTAACTTCTATCCCAAGACGAAACTGCAGACAACTACAATTGAGACCACAACGCACACGAACAGAGTTTGACCAGTTTCATGTGACAACGAACCTGAAAAGCCCAAAATCCTTGATCTTCATCGAGTTTTAGAGGATTTTAAGAAGATTTGGCATATAGATGGTTTCACCATTTCACAGAGCTCTTACCCGATTTTATGCAAGTGGCGATGGAGTTCTTGAAGGTGCCTCACGTTTCGTTTCTGTGCGCTGGCCGCGTGTGGGGGGGTGGTATATGCAGGGTTCCAGAACTCATTCAGGGCTTCGGGCGTGGGATTGTGGCTGTAAACACCCACCCGCCTTTCTCCAGAGTGCCACCCTCCGACTTGCCGCCATCGTAGGCCATGTCTGCGTACCACTTGTACTGTTCCTGTTTAACACTCTAGGGCCTTAGAGTGTTCTCGGGTGTATGACGGTTTGGGGCCTTTATAGAGTTTTACAAGCGTTGCTGTGAAGGAGCTGACACTTCAAAGCGCCATTATCGGGACATTGTGTTGGTTCTTGAGCGTCTGTTTTCGGTAGATTCAGATAGTTACCTTGATGCGAGCCCATATATACAACACTTCGTATATATATATATATATATATATATATATATATATACATACATACATCTATAACGTTTATGACGGTTTGAAGGAATGTTTGGGTTTCAAGGTGCATTCAGGGTTTTAGGATGTTTAAGGTGAAGGGTGTAAGGTTCAGGGCCCAGGATCTCATGGCAATGGGTCAAAGGCTTCGGGGGAAAAGGGTTCAATAATTCCATAAAACCGAAACCCTAAACCCCTAAACCCCGAAACCCTAAACCCTCAGCAGGCCCAACGTCGAAGGCTTCAAGCTTAAGGGTCCCAAACCCGAACCCGGAGCCCTAAACTCTCTACGCAGAATGTCTTATTGGGATTTACGGCCCTTAGGTTGTGGGGTGGAGTTAAGATCCTCAGGTTTAGCGATTATAGGTGGTAGGGTTTCATGTCTACGGGCATGATTGAGTGGTTTCTGCCATGATGCTGCAGTGGTGGTAATTAGCCAGAAACCTTCAAACCATGCACGGTTGATTTGAAACCAACCACTCCGTGTAACCTAGCCGAGTCGTGCATGCTCGAAGTGCGAAGCCCAATCCGAAATGCTGACAGGACAAGTATGGCTGTAATGCGAATAACAGCTGCCCCCTAAACCCTAAACCCTAAACCCTGAACAGCCCGACTGCGCTGCAAGTTGCCTGCGGGTCGGTCAGGCCGTTGCCAACGCCCAAGCCTTGCCCGAAAGACTGCTTTGAAAGAGTTGGCTTAGGGTTAGAGGCTTTAGGGTTTAGGGAGATATGGTTTAGGGTTATAGGGTTTCGGGATGGGTTCTTGTTGAACTCGCTCAGAACTTTATTGCAATAGGGTGGCGGGATATGATATTATACTGCAAGTAGGCACCCAAGAAAGTCCTTAACCAGAAAAAGGGTTTCGGGGTACAACATAATTACTACAAACTGGAACCCAAAGGAAAGTTCTATTGACTATAGATCCCCATCAGTGTGACTGGCGGTAAGTTCCTGAACTAGAACCATGAATGTTTTTCGGCAACTAAGCGGAGTCCGCAACAGTACTGTGGTAGGACGAAACTTTCACCTCCTTGTTTCGTCGAACACGGGCCCCCATTCCCTCATGGAATCCTAACAAACAGGACCAACCGGCTACTCCTCCGGAGCAATACAGTAGTATAATGTTAAAGTGGGGTGTAAAATGCTCCGCTGGCCAGGCCACGCAAATCGCACTTTTCGGTACTCCGCTACTCCGCAAGACATCTGAAGACAACACACATCCAGTAGGTCAAAACTTCTGTCATCCCGATGTAATACCTTTTGCCTCTTGAGGCGGCTTGTGACATGAACGCGGAATAGGCGGAACAAATTATGAAGGGTAAGGGCTGGTTAGGGTTTGAGGATGAGGGTTGGGGAACCTGTTAACCGAGTCTACAAACCCTATGAAACCCTCCAACACTCGAAACTGCCTCACAACCCTCTAAAAGCCTCGAGACCGTCTAACCAAAAGCCAAACACTAACTCCCCAGGAACTCCAATATGCCTTGAATTAAAGAATATTCCACTTTTCAACTTAGGGGTCCTACTATAACTTAAGGTATGTTCCTTATAGTTAATAGATATTGGAGTCTCTGGGTCTAATCCCCCTGAGGCTTAAAACAGCCCAACAGCCTTGTATAGTATGGTCTTTGGGCCCAAAAGCTTTAAGATAGGAGTCCTTAGAGCCTAAGGGCAAAATCCCTGAGAAGGCGCCTTTCAAAGGGACCTTGAAGTCGTTTCCCTGCTGGTTCTGCTGCCAAATGTAGTGAGACACTGCTGGCACCTGGGAGGGTTTAGGGCCCTTTGCTTCCTAAACCCTAAACCCCTAAACCCTAAACCCTAAACCCTAAACCCCTAAACCCTAAACCCTAAACCCCGAAACCCTAAACCCCTAAACCCTATTAGGGGAGGGTTTAGGGGGCCTTAGGGGTTCCTTCAGGGTGTAGGGTTTAGGGTTTACGGGTTAGGGGAAGGTTTAGGGTCCTCTGGTTCCTTACAGGGCTCCTGCGAGGGTTCCTGCACAGCTTCGTTTAAAGGTGTTTTTTTCTTGGGTTCCTTTGGAGGCACTACAGGGTTTGGGTTTAGGTTGTAGGGCATGGGGTTGGGGTGTTTTTATTGACAATTCTGGGCTCCACTTTGTCCAAAAGGTCTACTATAAAGATCCTACTCTCTAGGGTCGATTGCTCCCTACACTTACACTACACGCGGCAGCCTGGCCAAGACTGCCCTGGCCCAGTTGAAACAATATAAGGGCCTTAACAATTGGAACAGGATTGTGAGATCCAGTAGACTTTGATTATATTATAATCAGGAACCCCCAAAGTAGTATAGATCGTTATTTAGGCCCCTATAGTAGCCGCTTGCCGCAGCTCGCAGTGGCAACTGAGACCTTGGCTCGTAACCTCACTCTTCGATACATCTGCCGCAGCATGAAACTTCCAGCATCTTTGCGAAGAGGACACATGGGAGTTTCCGAAAATTAGAGGACCCTAGTATAGTACCCGAAATAGTAGGATCCGTATTATAAGGACCCCCGAATAAGGTACCCTGAATGTTCGGAAACTGCCACATCTCCTCGAAGCTGCATGTGATCTTCGCCACGGCTGGCCGTGCCTCCCAGCCATCTGGACCCAACGGCAGTACAGCAACCCATGCAGCGTTATGGAGTTCGTATAGCACGGCCTCGTCACCCCGATCTGATCGTCTTCTCCTAGAAGATGCGAACCACAAGCCCTTCGCAAACCAGGCAGCCCGCTCAACTGCTTTCACCTACGCTCGTTAGCGGGAAGTCAGAATAGTTCTCGTTCTTCCCAGGCATGGCACTGACCAGAGCATAATATGGGGCCTTCGAACAGGGTTTGGAGTAGGTTCTACGATTTTGAGTATTATCAGGAGCCCCCAAACAGCATTGATGTAGGAACCTGATGAAGAAACCCTGGGCGTATAACCCCAAAATAGTAGGATTCATATTCAAGGCCCAAGGTTCCTTAATCAGGTTATCACATTAGTAATTTTTTGAGCCCCTATATTGCTGCGGGGCCTCTTCGGGGCCTTCTTGTCCCTCGGATGAAGGCTGCCTCTACGGGAGCTTCGAGGGGTAGGAGAAGGCTTTGCTGAGATTTTACACTAAAACCTGACAGGGCTTATAACGGGTTACTACGTATTACTACGTGCTTCTAGCTCTGTTTTAAACTAAACCCTAAGGTTCAAAAATTTTAAATAGCCCACCAGCCTTTTATAGTATGGTCTTTGGGCCCAAAAGCTTCAAATATGAGCCCGCAGAACCTAAGGGTAAGGATCCTCATATTCTGGGACTCTCGGATGGTTCTAAGGAGTTGCGGGATTTGTGGCGCTGGTCTAGGGTTTAGGGGTCGAGTAAAGGTATGGGGTTTAAAACTCCAGGACCTAGGGTTTACGACTCAGGGTGAAATGGTTTTGTGAATTAGTGGTAAAGTTCGAAAGCATTCTCTAAGTGCCACCGCTTCCTTGTTGTACTTTTTTAGGACGTAGTGCAAAGCTGTGTACTCAGGAAAAATAGGATAAGCGCTGAAAGCCCAACGCCCTAGATGCTAAACTCTATACATCTCATATAACAAATACGGCCCAAACCCTCAAACCTAAAGCCATGAATCCAAAAAAAACAACCCCCCCATCTCTTTCACATACGTTTGAGGTTTGGGGCTTATGTCTGCGTGTTTGTGTGTGATAAATATATATATATATATATATACATACATACATACATACGATGGAGTTAGGTCCCGAAAGGCAACCCCTACCATGATCTAGGGGACGCAATTCCACAACGGTAGCACATATGATCCTATGTTACCCTAAACCCTAAACCCTATGGTAGTATCAACCCTAAATCCTACCCAGGGGCCCCACAGTAGTTCCTTTTTGGAGTTACCCTGTAGGATTCTGAACATGAACCCCAAAAAGGAACTACTTTGGGGCCTTCGGGTAGACCCCATCCCGAAGGGTCCAAGTAATACTTGTTTAGGGTTTTTGGTACCGACAAAGCTTGGCTGACTTCTGAACCCCTCCTAAAAGTTAAACATTTAGCCTCCTTATTATAGTTCATATAGAAACCCAAAGTCTAAAGAGCCAACCAGACGAACGCCAAGAAAGGCCCCTAAGTCTTACAATACGGTAATGAGTACTTGGACCCTTGCCTTAAGGACCAAATGACCCTTAAATGTTGGGGCCCGCTACACTTATACTATGAAACCCTATATGGCATATAAACCTTAAACCCTTTCAGGGCTCATTTCGTCCTTAAGGTGGGTATTAGTAGTGTAGATGGACCCTCCGGGTAGGGCTTCTGGTCCGGAGCGCGTAGTGACCGGCGTAGGACTCACCTGGGCTTTGAAATAACCAGCGCAAAAAAGGCATACACTGTCAAGATGAGTTTAGGGTTTTAGGGTTTAGGGCTTTAGGGTTTAGAGTCTAGGTTTTAAAGTTTTGGGGCTTTAGGGTTTAGGGCTTTAGGGTTTAGGGCTCCTTTCAGGTACAGGTCTCCCCCCAAAAAAAAGCAAGATTCAAGTATGGCACTCCAGAACCCAGTCACCGAAGATGAAGAAGTCGAGGTTCTTGTACTGCGGAAGGGCCTTGTAGAACTCCTGGAGCTATTGCGGCCTACTTGGAAGGGCGGAGGAGTAAGGGTTCTTAAGGGCTTCTTAAAAGGATCTCAAAGTTCCTTAAAGGGATCTATGGGGTTTAGGGTTTAGGGTCTACTTGGAGGGGCGGGGGACTTGCTAAGTCCTTGAAGGTTCATGGGACTTAGTAACTAGGGTTGTAATTATGGGATCTATACTTATATATAATTCGTTGTACCCCAGTTAAGGTACTTATAACAGTAGTTACTAAGTCCCATGAACCTCCAAGTAGGTTGTAAGTAGAGTTAAGAGTTATAAGTACCGTAAATAGACTTAGAGTTACCCCAATTGCATAAACGACTTACTAAGTCCCTTGTCCCCTCCAAGTAGGGGTTCCTTTAAGGGTTCCTTTCGGGGCTTCTAGGGGACCCCAAAGACATAAGCATAAGCATTTTTATAGGGATTTCCCTATCCTACTGCGCTTCACTATAAGGGGGTTTATACGGGATAGTCCCTGACCTTATTTTCACTTACGTGCTTCTTTGGGGCCCTAGTTAGTCTTTTGGTTGAGGGAGTCCTAAGGCAAAACTCTGCTTGCTTTAAAGCTGCTTTTGACGTCTGTCCCGAACTTGTCTCCAAGGGGCTAGAGGGTTTAGGGTTTTGGGTGTAGGGCTCAGGTATGTTTAGGGTTCTTATTGGTAAGGTTTGCTTTTGGGGTTTAGGGTTCAAGGGTGTAGCTGCAAGCGGTCTCGTGCTGAGGTGGGGCCTTGTAGAACCCTAAACCCTAAACCCTAAACCCTAAACCCTAAACCCTAAACCCTAAACCCTAAACCCTAAACCCTCCTTTGAATTTAGGGGCTCACGGTTGAATGAAAAGTCATTGCAGTAAGGACTCTAGGCTTAGGGTTTAGGGCTTAGGGGTGCTATTTGGTCTTATGTAGGGGCCTTAAAAACTAGGATACCCAGTAACCTAAGGATAAGAAGGCCTCTCTTTTTGGTATTGGGTAACTTTATAAGGAACCTAGGACTACAAAAAGGGAATAAGGGTACTACTGGGCATCCTTAAAAACGTCGTGTTCTGCTTTCGCCTTTCGGACCTTTAGAACTCCTGGGATGACTGTGGACTTAAGTTCGTTCCGGATCGAGGTACTGCCCTACTGTTTAGGGTTTAGGGTTTAGGGTTTCTGCTGATGGACAAAATCCTGCATTACTCATTATAAGGAATATACCATAGTTCCCATAGTTTAGAGTTATTAGGGACATGCAGGATTTTGTCCATCAACAGTATCAAGGTTTGGCGCTTGAGAGTTGACCCTAAACCCTCATTCCAACTGTGGGGTTTGCCTTAAGGACCAGGTGACCCTTAAAAGTTGGGCCCCGCTACCCTTATAGCATGAAACCCTACATGGTGTATGAACCGCAAGCCCTTTTAGGGGTTCATTTCGTCCTTAAGGTGGGCCAGTCGAGGGTTCAGGTTGACAGTTTCCTGGGTTGTGCTTTAAACCCGTTGAAAATTATTTATGAATAGGTTCCCTCTATGAGGCAATAAGGGAAATTGAAAATTATCCCAAAGCACGACCCAGTTTCGGGCTCCAATGGAAACTGCCAGATGATGTTGACCGCTACACCAAAGACCTGTATCAGCAAGCCCTATGCTGCCTCTGACCGCCCTGGCCGTTCCTCTGTTCGGGAGTAGGAAGGGGGCAGGCGTGTAGGGCCTTAATGCCCATATTAACAATGCCTGCTTAATGAAGTACAGTCCCCTACCCGCCCCCCGCCTTGCCCCTAAGGGTCCCCATGATCTCTGTCCTGCATGAAGTTGTACATGTTCTTGGCGACTCCATCTTCATCGTGCACCTCAGCGTGCTAGGGCGGGCTGGGAGCGATTCTTCTGGGCTTGGAGTTGTAAGTTCAGGCTCCAGGTGTTGATGCTTAAGGTTTAGGGTTTAGGGGTTTGGGCACAAAAACCTCAAAAAGACAACACAGGTGCACTGCCAACGAGAGCTTATGGTAGTCAGAGTAAGCATGGTTAGTTGTCTTCTTGTGTGCGTGTATGTTGGAATATTCGCTTTAGGGCATTAGAGCTTGGGCTTGTAGCTGTCGGGTAGAGGCATAGGGGTCGCGGATTCAGGTAGACTTTCTGAACTTGCTGCATGGCCTTCGGACACTCTATCTGAATCTACAGGTATCTTTAAGTCAAGTAATGTAGGAGTTGCTTGTTCACATGTATAATACGCGTGTTTGCTTTGCACGGATGCCTGCATCAACGCATTTACGAGTTACTGACGTACATTCATAAGAGTGAAAAATAAATACATGAACGCGCACAGAAGGAACACACGCTTGTATGCATCGGGACTGAGCGACTGACAAACAAGCATCTAGACAGAAATGTGAAATAATCCTAAACCACAAAACATCTACAGGCCTACAGCCATAATCCATAATCATTACACGGTACCACCCGGTATTATTGCACTACAGCAGATCATGGTTTTGATAGCTTATCGACAGGTGCTCCCAGGTGAACCAAGAGGGAGCTTCCAAACCTGAAGGCCTTCCAGCAAGCAAAAAGCCCGTTCCAAACCCTGACCCATCCTTGTTAAGTTGAGAACAATAAGGAAGCGTGAGTTCTTCTTGTCTACAACGACTCAACAGGGTCTTCAAATATAGGTGTTCAACGATAAACCCTCGCATTCCCACCCGAACACATTTCAACCCAATAAACTCTAATCGCCGAAACCCACAGCCTTAGCCTTAAACCCTGAGACACACCCCTGCACTGAGCCCTGCGCCAGAGGCAGGCCAGTAGAGAAGCCCGTCGCGGCCGGCTGGTCCACCCAAAGCACGTTGGCGTTGCCTGGTTTAGGGTTGATGTCTGTTAACGGGTTTAGGGCTTAGGTGTTTACGAGTTTACGGGTTTAGGGTTTAGGGTTTAGGGTTTAGGGTTTAAGGTTTAGGGGTTTAGGGTTTAGGGTTTAGGGTTCAGGGGTTTAAGGTTTAGGGGTTTAGGGTTTAGGGGTTTAGGCCTCGAGGCCCTGGGGTGCTAGCTCAAAACCCGCGACCTTGGAGTTTAGAACCCAAGGTTCAGGGGTTTAGTGTTGGGCTTTAACTAAAGGCTTGGGCTTTGGGGTCAAGAAGGCAATATGCTCGCGAGACCTACGAACATTACACTGACAGTGTCTAGGGTTTAGACTTACTAGGACTATCAAGTTTTTGGTTTTGAGGGTTGGGATGATCCTAAACACTAAACCCCCCTAAAGGCGCCCTTAATCAAGGAACATACCTTGTAAATCATAGTAGGATCCCTAAGATGATTTAAGGGATAAATTCCTTGATTGAGGGATATTGGAATCTCGGTGTGCAGTGCTACGCATTTCGAAATAGAGGACAGGACCGTCGAAGGACCCTAGGAGCTGTGCTAGTAAAAGAAACCCTACATAACCACCATTCTTACAAGAACGTCCGATTTTTCTGTACAACTCCTGAACTTTTCACCCGATAAGCTCCAAGCCCCAAAACACGATTAACCCCAAACCACAAAGGCTTAAGCCCATAGAAGCAAATAAGGAACACAAACACAAGAACAATGACAGACACGCAAAACAAAACAACAATAAACAGCAGCAGGCAATACACATGTATGAAAGCTAGGTATATGAATGTAGAGGTATGTATGCATATTGATACTCTTCTTGGTATTGATATTCAACTCATGTATGTCTGTATCATTACAAAAAAATATATACACACATATGCAGACATATGTTTATACATATACCTACGTATGTATATATATATATATATATATATATATACATATACATATATGTATATGTGGAGTTGATGCAGATTTCAACTGCCATGCTGCTGGTCCAGCTGTAAGGGTTCTTCACGGTGCCGGTGCCGTTCTTCGCCATGTTGCAGGGACCTCGGGAGCTAGAACTTTGGGAATCAGGGTTTTAGGGTTTAGGGTTTAGGGTTCCTTTATAGGTCCCTTTGAAGGGCTCTCTAGGGCTCCTTTAAAGGGATCTATAGGGTTCCTTAAAGGGATCTGTAGGGTTCCAGTAAAGGGGTCTATAGGGGCTACTATACAGGATACTAGAAGCCAAATTAGGGCTTTGGGGGGCCGTGTCGAGTATAGGGTCTTAGACATGGCGTTGGTATTCTGTCTGCCTTTTCTTGTTTTCGGATCGGTTTTTTTGCATCCCTCTACGGTTTTCAACGGATTTAAGAGTGCTTGATTTGTAGAAAACATGAAACTTTTGCAAGCAACTTCTGAAGGAACTTCTGACTGGGAGGGGTACAAGAGCTCCACATGGGAGTGTCTGAAAATAATGGACCCGAATGTAGTACCCTAACTAGTAGGATCCTTATTATAAGGACCCCAAAACATGGTACCCCAATTTTCGGAAACTCTATAGAGCCCTTTAAGGGAAGCCTTATAATATAATATCCTTATAGTAACCCTTTTAAGGAACCCTAAGGCACCCCTAGTTTTCGGAAACTCCCACATGGCACGAACCGCAAGGGATGAGGCCCTCAGTTTGAGGACACAGGGTCTTAGAGCTTCTTAATACAAGGGTTTTGGGGTTTAGAGCTGTTTAATACTAGGGTTTAGAGTTTAGGGTTTTTTGCTAGGGTTTAGGGTTTGGGTTTTTTATACTAGGGTTTAGCGGTTTGGGTTTTTTTATGCTAGGGTTTAGGGCTTGGGGTTTAGGGTTTAGGGGTCCGGGAAACAAATCCCGACATACACTCACCTTACACCTGATCTACAATCTAGCTCAACCTGGCATACTGTGACATGGTATGACCAAGTGTTTTCCGCCATGACCCTCAAAACCTAAGCCTTAGCCCTAAATCTCAACACCCTAAACCCCATATAACCCCCCAAAGAACCCTCTTTAGGCCCTGAACCAAACCGCCCTGGCCGGGACGAAAAGCCATGCGGCCGTTCTCTGCGAGCAGCGCAAGCTGGGAAGAGCACCCCGGGCCACCTCCGGAGCAGCTTGGAGTAGGTTAGGGTTTGGGGTTGAGGGTTTAGGGTTTAGGGTGTAGGGTTTAGGGTTTAGGGTTTAGGGTTTAGGGTTTAGGGTTTAGGGTTTAGGGTTTAGGGTGTAGGGTTTAGGGTTTAGGGTGTAGGGTTTAGGGTTTAGGGTTTAGGGTTTAGGGTTTAGGATGCTTCTGGACGTATGAGACAGTACAAATGCAGGTCTTTATGTGCGTGCAGGTGTATGTATATGTATACAAGTCTATATACATATATAAGCATACTTATACATACATACATACATACATACATACATATGATATAACTATGTATATACGCATATTCTGTGTGTATGTGTGCTACTTATGCATGTTTTCGTCCCGCTGTTTTTTGATTTAGTTAGTCAGCGTGCATCTTAGTTAATCCGTTTGGTCGTTCGCTTTGGTTAGTTCGTTCATTCGGTAGGCAGTCAGCTGGCCAGCTAGTGAGTCAGCGAGTTAGTCTGCCAGTCAGTCAGTCAGTCAGTCAGTCAGTCAGTCAGTCAGTCAGTCAGTCAGTCAGTCAGTCAGTCAGTCAGTCAGTCAGTTAGCTGAGTAGTTTCTTAGTCCAGTTGGCCAGCTAGCTGGTTAGTTAGTTCGTTAGTTGAGCTGCTTGTTCGTTCATAAGTAAGCTCGTCATATCATGATAAAGAATAGTAGGGTGCTGCACTACTAGGCCCCCCCTCAAAAAAAGCACACACGCAAAAAAAAAAAAGATGGTGAAATCCCATATAACCCCCCTCATAAGGTAGGGATAGCCCTATACCATGCTTATGCTTATGCCCTTTTGGGGCCCCCTAGAAACCCTTGAATCCCTCAAACCTAAACCCACCGTACCCTTATAGAAGCCCCTAAAGGAACCCTTAAAGGAACCCCTACTTGGAGGGGCAAGACTTTGGGGTCCCTAAAGTAAGGCCTTGTGACGGAAGTTTCACCAGGTCTTTACAGAAACTCCGAGGCCAGGGTTGAGGAGAAGCCTGTATAGTGCTACCAAAGGCTCCATGTACTTCCTCTAAGTACTAGGGTTCCTTTAACGGTTCCTTTAAGGGGCTCCATGGTACTTCTAATAGATACTCACGCCACAAAGGGGTCCCGATATAGGTACTTTAAGGCTTAAGGACATACTGTATCATACTATATGGGCACATGGAGCCTTAAACCCAGACTAGGTTCCTGAGTAGCCCCAATAGAACAGGGATACCCTTTTTCGTACTATTTGGCTTTAATAAGGGGGCCCTAGATTAGAAAGGGCAAAAGGGTACCACTCAGTAACCGAGTAGAAGAAACTTGAAAAACTGCAGGTTATCAGTGTAGCGATCGGGCTTAGGGTTTCGGGTTTTCAAGAGATGAAGTTGAACACACCAAAACCCAAAACAGTCCTGACTCCAATACGCTGAGCCCTAAACCCTAAAAGTCCTAGATCCTAATCCTACAATCCCCTAAGCATACCCTCGAAGGAGCCCTAAACCCTGCGAAATCCCTAGCCCGTTTAAGGACGCCCTAAAGAAAGACGATGTCATGAACTCTGAACCCTAAACCCGATGGAACCCGGTAGAGCTACCATGCAAGGACAACGAACATATAATCGGCCTACACCCATAAACCCAAAGGCTCCATGTACCCTAATGGTAGATACCTAGGCCTTAACGTACGTATATAGGGACCCCTTTAAGGCCTATGTACCTACTACATGGGCACATGGAGTCTTAGGGAAGAAAGGGGCCTGTCAGGTTCCTTCCTTTTGAGAGGCATGCTTTTCGGCTTCCTTATAATCTCCCCCTTTAAAGGAACCGACAATGGTACCCTTACAGTACCCGGAAGTTATAATTAAGGGCGGGACCTTGCTACAGTACCCCGGGATACTAATAGGAACCATTTTCTAGCACCCTTCAAGTGTCTACTCTACTACTAAGTTCCCTAAACCCCAAACCCTAAACCCTAAACCCTACTCTACTACTAAGTTTATTAAAGCCTTAAAGGATTCCTGAACCCAGAGCCAGGCCGGGGCCTGTCAGCCAGAGGACCAGCGGGTCGCTGGTGGGCTTGCTGCGGCTCTCCTGAAAATTTCAGGGCTCTTAAAGGGTTCCTTAAAGGGATCTATAGGGATCCTTAAAGGGGTCTATTACCCAAAGGCCCCAAAGTAGTTCCTTTTTGGGGTTCGTATATAGAACCCTACAGAGCAATCCCAACAAAGAACTACTTTGGGGCGTCTGGGTAGGTTCCACTCGTACTGATAGTCCCCAGCGTACGTGTGAGACTACCACAGTCATTGCCGGGCATGCATGACGAGCTGTTTAGGGTTTGCTTCTCGTTTGTTGCTGAGGGCCCGCTTCTTGAGGCTGCGGGTTTGGAGTTTGGGGTTTCGGATTTGGGAAATTAGGGCTTAGGGCTCTGAAAGGGTAATATCAACGATCATGGGGTATAGCAAGTACTCCTATAACTACCTTTGTTTGGGGTATATATGCACAAATAAATACGGCTACGCCTTATTTATCGCCTTAGTTACTAAGTCCCATGTTCCTTTCATCTCTGTGGCTAGAGTACTACTAGGGGTACTGTGAGGGTTCTATACGGGTGTTCTGGCTTTGGGGGATCCTGGCATCTTTGTGGTGTAGGGTTTATGCTTGGTGTCGTGAGCCGCGGCAGATGCACCCAGTGTGACTTAGTAGCAGTAGGCTGCGCAAAAACGTTGTCACAGAGCTTAAGCTCTGAACCCCTCGAAACCCTTCAACCCTGCACCGTAAACCACTTAAGGGACCCTGCTCAAAGTACAGAATCTTCTTCAGAACATTGAAATCAAAGACCATTTCGCCCAAGAACAGACCCAAAATGACCCAAGTACCTAAACACAGTATGTACTTAGGCAGCAAAGGCGGGGAAGTGTTTCGGCCAAAATATACTACACACAGAAATGGACGCAGGGCAGCTAAGACCCTAAACTCCTGAACAGCCCAGCACGACGAGAATCGCTCGGTGCAGCCTTTGGAAATGACATCTTTCATTGTCATTCAAGGCCTTAATAGCCTGTAATAAAGACTTTATAAGGCCTGTTTAAGGAAGGACAGAACATGACATCATAAGGACCCTATTCATCGTAGATGGATCCGACACGCCGAGAAGGCCAAAACCCTGTTGCCTGAAACCTTCTAAACACCCTTAGCCTTAACCCCTACCTTAAGCCGGAATAACCTACCTCGTTAAGGACTTATAGAAGGAAATCATAACAAGGAACCCTAAAAAGGTAGGTTATTCTGGCTTAAGGTAAACCCCCTCGCCCGTAAACCCCACACCCCCAAACCTACTAGCCTTTGACTCTGCACAAGACAGGGAGGGTTGTTGGTCCGGGGTTTCTGTTATCGGGTTGGAGGTCCCGAGTGCAAGGTTGTTCCCTGACAAGCTTCAAACATCCAAAAGAAGTACTTGACGCCGGCCGCCACATCAAGGTATCCGGAGTGCTGCTTCACGCTGCTGTCGCACCTAGGCTGCGGTGGAATCCTTCGAATTTTCGCAAGGCCTTAACTAAAGCAGAACTTCAATAAGGAGCCCGAAGGCATAGCATTGGTAATCGCCAAGGCTTCCCTAAACCCTAAACCCCTAAACCCTAATTGAAGCAGGGATAAAGTTGGTCGAATCTGTATTGGAAAGTGCAAGCCCTACCCTAAACTCGAGACCTGCAATCTCCAAAAACGGGTTTAGGGATGTTTGGGAATAGGGGTATAGAGGGTCTTGAAGGTAAGAAAAGCAGTGTTTGGGGAGCAGGCCGGAACTATGATTTAAGGCTTTAAGGCTTGCGCCTTTAATGTCTTAGGGCTCTTGCATTTGGGAGCGAGATATGCGTGAGGTGTGTCCGTGGCCAACCCATGCTTAAACCCTTCATAGAACCCCTTGTTTAGGGTTTAGGGTTGAGGGTTTAGGGTTTAGGGTTTAGGGTTTAGGGTTTAGGGTTTAGGGTTTAGGGTTTAGGGACTTGTAGAACAAGTCATGCTTGAAGGTTCATGGGACTTAGTAACTAGGGGTTTAATTAAGGCAACTAGACTTGTAACTAGTTCTATCCCCAGTTAAGGTACTTATAACTGTAGTTACTAAGTCGCATGAACCTCCAAGTAGTCTAACTCTAAGTCATAGTGTAAATCTCAACCGTTCCAATACCCCTCAAAGAATCCTTGCAGATCCTTGTAGCAACACTTCGAGCCAGGCTTTGTAGAAGTAATACAAGGGCCTCAGTAATTGCCTATACTATTGTGGGTGTTCCTTGTTATAGTTACAGCATAACGGGGCCCAAAACCCTAGTCTATTTGTTAAGGCCCCTGTAGTACCTCGCCTAACCCCTAAACACCTGACGCCCAGACTCCTTCAACCCTTAAACCCCTAAAGGCCTACGGTTGATGATATAACCCTGCATTGACCTAATGACGGTAGACTATGCCCAGGAATTATGGTATATTCCTCATTCTGGGCCATGGAGGATTTACATCATCAGCCGTAGAACCCTAGCGACCGAACCCCTATCCGTCCCTAACCCGTACATCCTGAAATACGAAACCCTAAACACGTAACCCGAAACCCCCCACGCCTTCGCCCTGAGCCCTAAACCGTCCTGTGACTCCTGTGGCCCTCCTCAAGGCATTACATATAGAAACCATAATAAGTAACCCCAAACAGGTTCATTCGGCCACAGGTAAAGCCCTAAACCCGAAACCACGAACCCCCCTATACCACTAAACCCCTAACCCTGGAGCCCTAGATACCCTAAACCCTAAACTCCTAAACACTTACCCTTAGACTCTAAGGACTGATATTTTCAGGCTTTTGGGCCCAAAGACCATACTATATAAGGCTTTTGGGCTACTTTGAGCCTTAGCCCTAAACCCCTAATCCCTAAACTAAACCCTAAACCCTAAACCCCTAAACCCTTAAAGCATCCCCCTGTTTTGAGCCTTATAAGGTTAAAGTAAGTAAAGCCGGGGGTCAACGTCGGGCTCGAGAGGTTGCCGGACACGGGGCCCTCCTCGGACGTGAGGAGGCCTGCGCTTCTCGGGTTAATAATAATAATAATCGTAACAGTAATAGTCATAGAAATAGTAATAGCCATAGTGAAAGTAATAGTAATAGTTATAGTAATAGTAACAGTAGTACAAGAGGGGTCACGGTTTTGGGTTCCCTTTGCAAGGATCTACAAGGGTTAATTTAAAGGGATCTATAGATATTTAAGGTTTAGGGACGAGGGTTTAGGGTTTAGAGTTTATAGGGTTTAGGGTTTAGGGGTTTAGGGCTTAGGGTGTTTAGGGTTGCGGGATGTTGGGGGTTGAGGGTGCAGGGTTCCTTTGAGGGTTCTTTAAGGGGGTTCTATAGGGATACTAGAAGGTTTAGGGTTTCGGGTTTCGGGTTAGGCTTTAGGGTTTGGGATATATGTATATATATATATATAATATATATATATATATATATATATATATATATATATATAATTGGAGGCTCAATTTATTTGGCTTAGGCCTCTGATGCGAGGAGGCTTTCTCCAGGCTTTCGGTGCTCGCGAGGGTGTAGGCTTTAAGAGCTTTAGGGGGTTTAGGCGGTTTGTAGGTTCAGGGGGTTTAGGGGGTTTAGAGCTTTGAGCTTTTAGGGGGTTTTAGAGGGTTTCGAGCTTTAAGGTTTTAGGGGGTTTACGTTTACGGGGTTTGAAGCTTTCAGGTTTTAGGGGGTTTAGGGTTCTAAGGCTTTAGAGGTTCGCGGATTGTATGCAATTGTTTGCAGTCGTCTTGCTACCGGCATTTCAGAGGTTCAGGACGCTTCTTGCAGGCTCGGCATTAATTTCTGAAACCCTTCTGAAGGGGTTTCTGGGTTGGGACCCTTCTCAGGTGTTATGCAGGGTTTGACAAGTTGGCAAGGCTGGGCTTTCAAGGTTCTCGGTGTGGGGCTGATAGACGAACGCCTTGACTTGATAATACAAGGGCCATGATAATTTCAATAGGGCTTTGAAGCTTAACATGCCGTGTAAGGACACCAGAATTGTAAGAAAAGTGGTTTACAGGAGGGTCTTCTATCCCACATTCTTACTTCATACAATCCGAGATAGTGATACCTATAGTCACTTAGTCTCCATTGTACTTCCGTTTTTCTTTTGGTTAACCAGGTTCAGGCTTAGGATCCTATGATCGAGATATGTGTTAACCAAAAAAGGAACTACAATGGAGATTATAGGTAAACTTCAAGATTCTAAACCCTAAACCCTGAACCCTGAACCCTAAACCCTGAACCCTAAACCCTAAACCCTGAACCCTAACCCCTGAACCCTAAACCTCAAGAGTCTATAGGTAGAGCCAAGATGCCAGACGCATCAACACTTTGACACCGCAGTGCCGCAGCTTCTTGCAATAAACCCCATAAAGTTAGAAACCCGGTTAAGGCCAAATAGTGCTGGGATTCCTTATACACTACGCTATTGGGTTTCCAACTTTTGGGCTTCTACTGTAATGCAAACCCAACAGCCCTCGGTGGAGAAGTTACCCATAGGCCCCAAAGTAGTTCCTGTTTGGGATTACGGGATTACCGTATAGGATTCTAAACATGAACCACAACAAGGAACCACCATGGGGCCTTAGGGTATCCTTTCCCTAGAGGCTCATACACTACCCCTTTTTTTAGGATACCTAGTTTTTATGGCTAGGATCTGAAAGTAGGCGCCCTAACAAAGGGGTAGGGTATGAGCCTACAGGTAGGCTCTAAGGACTCACAGTTTAAGGCTTTGGGGCCCAAAGGCCATACCATGTAAAGGGAACTCCAGAAAGTTGGAATATGGTTTCAGGGTAGGATACCTTATAATTTACCATAAAGGGTTTAGGATAATCATATTCCAGCTTTCTGGCTTTTACTGTAAGGCTTTTTAGGGCCATATTTAGGGACCACAAAAAGCACATAAGCATAAGCATTTTATACGGATATCCCTACTGTATTGGGCTTCCTTATAAGGGGGTTTATATGGGATATCCCTATCCTAATTTTTGCTTATGTGCTTTTTTGGGGCCCTAATATTGCGCCTCAGGGCATCTCTAAGCCGAAACTCTCGGGCTCCAGTTAACGCAGGTGGTACCTGCTTTGATGTCTGAAATTCTACCTTGGGATCCGAAAACCTACCGTTTTAAGGGTTCGACCCTCTAATTTAGGGGTCATAACCTACTATTTTGTAGGGTTTGGGGTCACAGGTATAATTCGTCGCTACTTTGGGCAAATTTGAAGGCCTAGTGTAATAACAAGCCTGCTCGAATGTAGGTATATCTAGCTTTTCTGGGGATCAGATTTTGTACTTTTGAGACTGCAAGTCCTGCAAGACTGCAAGATGTTCTTTCGCAAGGGCCACGAACGAGCTGCAGTATACTATAGGGGCCTTATATTAACAATTACCTATACTACTGTGGGGGTTCCTCCTTATAGGTATAGTAAAAAATGGGCCCCGAAGCCCTATTCTATTTGTTCAGGCCCTTCTATTAAACGGGCAAGCATGGATCTGCTGGGATGAGGGTTCAGGGTTTAGGCCTTCTGCTGGCGAAGCATCCATGCGGGCTTGCTTCTGATCGATCACGTTGCCATTGAGCTGATTCCGCACGGCACTCGCGCTATTGCTATCCTCGTCAGCATGTCCTCACGTCACGAAAGAACCGCTGTGTAGGCTGCGAATTCCGCAGCTGATTCCGCACAGCATGGCTATCGCCACCACAAAGACGAGAACCCCAGGTCACGACGGATCCATTGCCAAGAATAGCAGCACAAGCACCGCCATTGGCTTGGATCTGCTGCACATCTTTCAGCTGGTCCTGCGCAGCTCTGCCGTCACCGCCAGACCCAGGAGCTCCCCAGGTCACGACAGATCCGGAACCGAGAATGGCAGCAAACGCCAAGCCGGAGGCGGAGGCTTGGATGTGCTGCACGTTCTTCAACTGATCCTGCACAGCAAGACTGTCACCACCAAAGAGAGCACCACCCCAGGTCACGACGGATCCATCACCGAGGATGGCAGCAAACGCGGAGGCACAGGCTTGGACCTGCTGCACATTCTTCAACTGATACTGCACAAAACGACTGTCACCACCGTCACGAACATCACCCCAGGTCACGACAGAGCCATCACCAAGAATGGCAGCAAAAGCACTGTTAGTCGATTGGATCTGCTGCACATTCTTCAACTGATGCTGCGCAGCACTACTGTCACCACCAAAGTGTACATCACCCCAGGTCACGACCGAGCCATCGCCAAGAATGGCAGCAAAAGCACGAGGGGCGGCTTGGATCTGCTGCACAGTCTTCAGTTGATCCCGCACAGAGCTGCTGTCACCGCCACTCTTATGATCACCCCACGTCACGACGGATCCATCGTCAAGAATAGCAGCAAAGGCACCGTGATTGGCTTGGATCTGATGCACATTCTTCAGCTGATCCTGCACAGCGCTACTGTCACCACCATTGCGAGAATCTCCCCAGGTCACGACAGACCCATTGCTCAGAATAGCTGCAAAAGCTGTTGGAGTTGCTTGGATGTGCTGCACAGTCTTCAGCTGATCCTGCACAGAGCTGCTGTCACCACCACACCAGGGAACACCCCAGGTCACCACCGACCCATCGTCAAGAATGGCAGCGAAAGCCCGTGCAGAGGCTTGGATGTGCTGCACGTTCCGCAGCTGAGCCTGCACAGCGCTACTGTCACCACCGTCTGCAGCATGTCCCCATGTCACGACACACCCATTGCCAAGAATGGCAGCAAAAGCGCACTTGTTGGCTTGCATATGCTGCACGTTCTTCAGCTGGGACCGCACCGCGCTCCTGTCACCACCAGCACCAACAGAACCCCATGAGACGAGAGAACCATCGCCAAGAATTGCAGTAAAAGCCTGGCTGGAAGCTTGAACTTGAACACGATGTATGTGTAAGGTCAGCGAGTCACCATTCTGAAGCCCCACAGTCTTGATCGCCGACGACCCATCCAGGTTGTTTCCAGAGAGGTCCACTAGCCGCCCCATTCCGACTCCGAGCGCCATCTGCGCCCGAAGCTTCAAAGCTCCCACCTCCTCATTTGGGTGTGCTTTCAGGGTGGCTGTCCTGCCACTGAGCAGTCCGACTTCCACCGTGATGGACATTTCACTCGTGAGAAACCTCTCGATGTAAACACTCCTGACTTATAAGGCTTTCTGGTTGTGGGGTACTTTGCAATGTGGTAGTTTCAGAAAATAAGGGACCCTAATATAGTACCCTAAATAGTAGGATCCTTATTATAAGGACCCAAAAATAAGGTACCCCCTAATATTCTGAAACTCCCATGTGGCATGAAAGATACCAGGCACACCATCTGCGCCAGTGATCAGAGACTTCTAGCTTGTATGTTTGGGGCCTCGGGCTTGCATAATGGCATGGTCAGGGCTCCGGGCAGGAGTAGGAGGTACATGGGGGTTTAGGGTTTAGGGCATCCCTATATATTTGATGCTACTTCGATCCAGACCGCAGAAAGCAACAAACGAAGCATGCAATGCACACGCAGATTGGCTGCTGATTTATCCCAGCGCCCCGCTGCCCGCCCGAATTAGGGTAAGCACAGGTCATGCGCATGCCGAACATGCGGCGCTTGAACATGTCTCGAGTTCTTAATCCTGAAGAGGCAAAGACCTACGCTATTGGAGTTAAATCGATTCTGCTTGCAGGGCTTGGGGTTTTGTCGAACTTTATACACTCAACGGGCACTTGAGCCTCTTGGGATTTGCGGGCTTATGCCTGGAATCTCTATAACCCCTATAAACTCTAAACTCTAAACCCCCACACTCTGATCCCTAACTCTCAACCCCAAATCCCTAAACCCCCTCACTCTACATCCTTAAACCCCTAAACTCCAAACCCCTAAACCCCTAAAGTCCAAACCCCCAAAACCAGTTCACATGGCCTACTTGGAAGGGCAGGGGACTTAGTAAGTAGGTTATAAGTAGAGTTATAAGTACCCTATATGGAGTTACCCCAATTATAACCCTACTTATAACCTACTTACTAAGTCCCCTGCCCTTCCAAGTAGAACCCGAAGCCCTAAGCCGGCCCGCAACTCCAAACACGAAACCGCAATAGTTTCCCTTTAAAGGAACCCTTATAGTAACCTTATAGTAACCCCTTAAAGGAACCCCTTAGAGTACCCTTATAGTAACCCCTTAAAGGAACCCCTTAGAGTGCCCTTATAGTAACCCCTTAAAGGAACCCCTTAGAGTAAAATTAAAGTAACCCTTTAAAGGAACCCCCCTTAGAGTACCCTTATAGTAACCCTCTCAAGGAACCCTTACAGTACCCTCCAAAACTCCGAAGCCTGCTGAACTGGGTTCACGGTTTAGGGTCAGAGTTTAGTTCCTTTAAGGATTCTCTGAGGGGTTCTATGAGGGTAAGGGTATTTTGGTTTAGGGTTTCGAGTTTAGGGCTTTGGCTTTAGGGCAAGACCCTTCAGAAGTTTTGGGTTCCTAAACCCTAAACCCTAAACTCTAAGGCTTTAGCCTCAAAACCATATACCAAACGCCCTAGACCTTGGCTCGAAACCCTACTCCCCCTCAGATCCTGCAGTTCCCTTAAAAGGAACCCTGGGTTCCCTTTAAAGGAACACAAAGTGGTACCCTTTAAACGAACCCTAGGTTCCCTTTAGAGGACTAGCCCCACGCCTTCTTCGTGCAAAAGCTTCTGGAACTCCTCGATATCCACGGGCTGCTCGGGTACGAGCTGCGCACCTTTTCGAATCTGAGCAGTCCCATTAGAGTTCAGTGGTTCTATGAGGGTTGGCACAAGCGTTTCTAGACAGTTCTAAGAGGGGTCTCCTGGCGATTCGATCGCGTCTTGTGGGTGGGGTAGATTATATCTATATGATACAAATACATACGGACTGTAAGGGGACAGTATTACCAATCATGCCGTCCGCTTTATTGGCAGAGATTTATTGGGTTTGGTCTCAGCTGATGCACGATGACCGAGACTGTCCCCAAACGGAACAACCCCAACATCTATCTATATATCTATATCTATGTCTATATCTTTATCTATATCTTTTGCACTAAAATAAAAGATTGCGCCGAATTTGACATGTATAGTTAAGCAGTGAGGCAGACAGGATGTACAGGAGTTTGTGCTGCTCCAAGAACTTCTTGCACCTAGGGGGGGGAGGGGGGGGTAACTGTCAAAAGCTGTGTCCCTTTACATGGGGAACCCTCAAAACGCTACTCTTAGTACGGCACGCTATAGCTTGCAAAATTTTGACACCCAGAGTGGGCCAAATAAGACCCACTGGTGAAAGTGAAAGAATGTGAGACTAGGTCTAGGGTTCAGGATTTACCCTTCTTCTCGGGAAAGTGCAAGAATGTGAGGCTGGCAAGCTATCATGAGCAAGCCGTGCTATTTGCTGTTGCGTGGCGTGCACAGCACCCACGACTTGTCCATCCAGGACACAGTCTAAGAACCCCAAACCCTGAACCCTAAACCCTACTAAAGCCTTAATATTTAGATCTTTGGACCCTTGAGGGATGTGAAATCTCAACAAGACTGGCACAAGAACGCAGCCAAATGGGACTTCGTATCTAAGATTTAGAAGCTTTCAAGATGTTACAAGAAGACCCTGAGACTTAAATTCCTGAGCCCCCAAAACGGAAAGTATGTAGGGCAGGATGATTATTGCTAGGATTCTCGATCCTGCAGTTTAATTCAAACTTTCAGGGCTTGCTAAACTTCAAAATTCAAAGCCGCTAAACAATAAGCCGTGAGATACCCTGAGCTTCTTAATCCCCTCAAGAACCCTTACAATACGACCCCGTTTCCTTAAAGGAACCACTGCACAACTCCACTAAACCCTATACCCTTGACACTTAGAGGAAACCTTAAATAAAGGGATCCCTATTCCCTTAACCCTCAAGCCATAAAGGGAGCCTTAAAGGGATCCCTGTTCCCTTAACCCTAAAGCCTTAAAAGGAACCTTAAAGGGATCCCTGTTCCCTTAACCCATGAAGCCTTAAACGGAGCCTTAAAGGGCTTCATATTCCAGTAGCCATTAACCCTACCCATAGGCCCCCGAAAAGGATTACCTTATAGGATTCTGAATATGAACCACAAAAAGGAACTACCATGGGGCCTTATTAGGGTAAAGCCTTCAACGGAGCCTTACAGCGATATTCCATTCCTGTATCCCCAAACCCTACAAAATAGTATGTTATGACCCCTTCATTAGAGGGTAGGACCCTTAAAACGGTAGGCTTTGGGATCCCAGGGTTAACCCTAAAGACTCAAACGAAGCCTTAAAGGGAGCCGTATAAAGGGATTCATATTCCATTAGCCATTAAGGGAGCCTTAAAGCAGCGCCTGCCAAGCCCAAGGCTGCCGCCGCCAGGACGCGAAGCATGGCTCCTCGGGAACCCGGAGACTCCATTCTCCCTTAGTTCTAGTCTATCTTGGCTCTACCTATAGACTCTTGAGGTTTAGGGTTCAGGGTTTAGGGTTTAGGGTTGAGAATCTTGAGGTTTACCTAGACCTTTATAGTAGATTACAAGGGTTCCTTTAAGGGGTTCTATATAGGGTTCAGGGTATAAGGGTCCATTTGCACTCTCCCTTCATTACAGTCTCCATTGTAGTTCCGTTTTCCCTGGGCATCAAAATAGCCCAAAAGCCTTACATAACTTGGTCTTTGGGCCCAAAAGCCTTAATATATGAGTCCTCAGATGCCTGGGGTTTTTGGTTAACCGAAAATCTCCATTATATGATCCTAACCCTAGAACTGGTTAACCAGAAAAGGAACTATAATGGAGACTATAGGCAATTAAGGAATACCGAGCGCTCCGTTAAGGGATCTATAAGGGTTCCTTTAATGGTTCCCATCAGGGATCTTTCGGGTTTAGGGTTTAGGGGACTCCAATATCTTTGAATTGAAGAATAACTATACCTGAAATTCTAGTAGCAACCCTAATATGATTTAAGGTATATTCCTTGGTTAACGGGTAGCACGTAGTGGAGTCTCTGGGGAATCTTGCCCTACCCAGACCGCTGGGAGGAAGGCCACGGCTAAGTCTCTTAAAGTAAAGGAAGCCTTCGGGTTTTAGGCTGTAGGGTTCAGGGTTCAGGGTTTAGGGTTTAGGGTTTAGGGTTTAGGGAAATACAGTAAACCGCATAAAGTTGGAAGCCGGATTAAGGCCAGAAAGTGCTGGGATTCCCTATACATGACTCTTAAGCTTTGAGGCTAAGGGGTTTCCAACTTTTAGGCTTCTACTGTAGACGCCTTGTTGAACAGGAGCTCTTAAACCCCTCATGGGGCTGGACTGGGGCGTGGGGGTCTGGGACCCTTAGAGGAATCCTAAGCCCTGAAGCGAAACCGCAACATGCACCCCTTCAAATTGGAAGCCTTCCTGAAGAGAATCCCCATTGGAGGGAACCTTACGATCATCCCAGGTCCCAGCTGTGTAGCATGAAACAACATTAATTAAACTATAACCACTATGGGCTATTAGACCCTAAAGATCCCTATTAGGACCCTATTAAGGGTAGATTAAGGTACCCTTAAGGTCTAATAGCCCATAGTGGTAATGAAACCACCCAAAACAACTGCAATGATTCCTGAAAACAAACAGAGCTTCAGGGGAACACTCCATAAAGCCTTACTGAACAAAGCCTGAAAGGAACCCTAATCCCTATAGAACTCTCATAGAACTCTTATAGAACTCTGATAGAACTCTTGTAGGCCCATTAAAAGAACCTAAACATGAAACCCCCAAATCCTCAAACCCTCAAACCCTGAACGCTCATAGACCCCTTGACAGAACCTGTGAAGGAGCCCGTACACCCTAAAGCCCAAACCCTAAACCCCTAAACCCCTAAAGCCCTAACCCCTAAACCCTTATAGATCCCTTTAAAGGAACCCTTAAACTCTAGACCGCATCAAAGAAAGCCAAGCTTCAAAGGGAAGACGTGTCTCGGCAAGCGATCTAAGCTCTTGGCTCTCCGGCTCCAATAAACCAGAATGGCCAAAGGGGGCGGGTTTAGGGTTTAGGGTTAGGCCAAAGGGGGCTTAGGGGGTCCTTGTAGTAACCTTATAGATACCCTATCGTAATCTTATAGTATACAGTAATCTTGTAATAACCTTATAGTAACCTTATAGTAAGCCTATCGTAGCCTTATAGGGGGTCCTTTGCGGGATCCGAGAGAGTTTAGGGTTCAGAAGAGCTTCAAGGTTTCAACATCATTTTCTAGGGATCCTCTTAGGAGTTACTTTAAAGCAGCCCAAAAGGGATGCTTATGGGTACCATATCGTTGGTGATCTTAAAAACAATTCTGGCGCTGTAGGGATTTGAGGCTCTAGGGTTCTAAAGCCTAGGGTTTAGGACTTTCATGCTTCAGGCATTAAGGGTGTAGGTTTTACGGTTTGGGTTCACGACGTTAGGGGCTGTTAGGGCTTAGGGTTTGGGTGTGTTTAGGGCTTTGTGAGTTTTGGGGCCTATAGCTCTAAACCCCTAAACCCTTACCCTTTGGCCCTAAGGACTCACATTTCAAATCTTTTGTGCCCAAAGATCATACTATATAAGGCTTTTGGGCCATTTTGAGCCTTAGCCCTAAACCCCTAACCCCTAAACTAAACCCTAAACCCCTGAACCCCTAAAGTATCCCTCCAAAAAGAAGCCTCAAAGGATGTTTTAGAGGAAGTAGGTAGTGCTATTAGGGAGACCCCTTAAAGGGTACCCCTTCTGAACCCTACTTCTGGCTCTCTCAAAAGGGGCCTTATTGAGAGGGTCTATATCCCCAAGGGTCCCCCTAATCCTAACTCCTAGGAAGGCTTCGCTTCTATGGTTCACCCTTCAGAGGTCTTCAGAAAAATGCGAAGTGGCCGAGGCGCGTGGTGCTTTCCTAGTTTAGGGTTTGGGGTTTATAGGGTTTAGGGTTTAGGTTTCGGGTTCGGGTTTGGGGTTTAGGGTTTGGGGTTTAGGGTTTGGGTTATGGGCTTACCGTGTAGGATGCAGGATGCTTTGCCCGATCTGTTTACTAGCTACTACGAAGACCTTTCCCTGCAAAGTAAACTACGGCATCTTACGGTGGAACCCGGGACGCTACGGTTTTAGGCTTTCATGCTCTGAGGATTGGGATTCAGGGCCTAAGGGGTTCGGGATTGTGTTCCTCAACAGCCTGCTGAAATCATCCTCCGAACCGCTAGGGCCGTTAGGCACATCGGTACATCTGCACCCTCTCGATTCAAGTCCGTCCACGGAACCCAGAGACCCCAATACCCCGTAAGGAATATACCTTAAGTAATAGTAAGATCTCTAATATGATTTAAGGAATATTCTTTAATTAAAGGAAATTGGAGTCTGCGGGAATATATAATCGATTGTCGGAGCCACCAACAACTCAAGGGTCTACAAACCTCGGACCTTGTTGAAAATTAGGGCTTCCGACACCCCAAACGAAAACTTCTCGAAGATTGAAACTGCCCTAATGCTCCTGGACCCTCGTAGTGAGATGCCGAACCTCAGCCCCGAAAGCCTAAACCCTCCCCCAGAAAGCCCATGACACTCTTAGGAGCCTTAGGGTAAACCCTTAGCCTTAAACTGTAAACTCCTAAGATGATTGCAAAAAAGATAATTTGTGAGTTTCCGAAAATAGGGGACCCTAATCTAGTACCCTACATAGTAGGATCCTTATTACAAGGACCCCAAAACCAAGGTACCCCCACTAATTTTCGGAAACTCTATAGAGCCCTTTAAGGGAAGCCTTATAATGTCAACCTCCTATTAATAAACCCCCCCCCCCCCCCCGTTGATTGATTTGGCGCCCGGGGTGGGGGGGATTGATTATTGAGGGGGGGGTCGGTCGTCGTAGTACAGTAGTATAGTACAGTAGCAGTACAGTAGTAGCACAGCCTCTGAGTCCAGCTCTTCCGGCGGACAGGGCACGTTTGGTAAAGTACCAGCAATGAACAATGATCCTGCGGTCCTCTCCCTCCTCCTTTGAAAGCCGAAGCTTTCGCAAGCAAGGGCATGGCTGCTATAGGTAGGTTATTCAAATCAACGACTCTGCTCCCACAGCTTGCTTTTCTTTTGAATCCAGAGCTTTCCCAATGAAGGGCTTGGCCTGTAAAGCTTGCTGTCCTTTTCAAGGCCTTTAAAGGCACCACCAAAAGGCCCTCCCCGGCGGGAGTTTATAATTGAGGGGGTGTTTATAATTGCGAAGAACGGCCTTTGTTAGTACTCCATCAGGATGGATTGATTTTTGGCCCCGGGAATAAGGAACCTTATTAAGGAAGGCATGGTTTCTGAGGCCCTCTAAATCTGAGTAGCTGCAGTTTCTCTCTTTCTGCAGACCTCACGCAGTCTTAGTAGCTGCAGTTTCTCTCTCGCTGCAGACCTCAAGCTCTCGCAGTAGCTGCAGTTTCTCTCTCTCTGCAGACCTCAAGCTCTCGCAGTAGCTGCAGTTTCTCTCTCTCTGCAGACCCCAAGCTCTCGTAGTAGCTGCAGTTTCTCTCTCTCTGCAGACCTCAAGCTCTCGTAGTAGCTGCAGTTTCTCTCCCTTTCTCTCTCTCTCTCAACCAACACACAACAACACAGAACAAGAAGTGTCTAATTTCGGGGATTTGGGCCGGCAGGTTTTGTAATTGAGGGGGGGTTTATAATTGAGTTCCGGGGGTGGGGTTTTGTAATTGAGGGGGGATTTATAAAAAGTAGGTTAACATTAATATAATATCCTTATAGTAACCCTTTTAAGGAACCCTAAGGTACCCCTAGTTTTCGGAAAGGGCGCAGAAACCCACAAGTCCTCAGCTAAACACCACCTTGGGATCCGGAAACCTACCGTTTAAGGGGTTAGACCCTCTAATTATAGTAGAAGCCAGAAAGTTGGAATATCATTATCGTAACCCCTTTAAGGTAAATTATAGGGGATCCTACCATTAATCCATATTCCAACTTTCTGGCGTTCCCTTTAAGGGGTCATAACCTACTATTTTGAAGAGTTTGGGGATACAGGTATGCACCCTAAACCCCTGTAAACCCCAGCGAAAGGTGGAGATGTGCACAATAGGCCCTATCATACCCTAAACACCCTAAGCCGACCCTAAACCACCTAAACTAAACCTCAACTCCACAAAAACCATCACCGACACTGCTAGCCTGGGTCGGTGGTCGCGGAACTTCCGCCACAGAAGCCGGCCCTATGTGTCGGGGGTTTTGGGTTTTGGGTTAGGGTTTAGTGTTTGGGGTCTAGGCTGTGTTTAATGGCTTCCTTTTTCTGGTTTACATAGAGTAACTATCGCATCTTCAAAAAACTGCCCTTAAATCATGGGGCTCTGAAGATTCCTCACGAATGCCAATTCCCAAACCCCAATTCCTGTGAACCCTAGACCATGAAAACTTAAATGGGGGTTTC